ACAAAGTGATGTACAGAAAAAATCATAATAGTAACTTTTTAAAGAAACAATTTTTTAATTCAATCATTAAAAATTCTCGGTGGGGTTCTAGTGCCACTGGAGGACGGTGCCACTCCGGTGTCACTGGCATTTTGAGGCACCTCCGATGCTCCGTTCGCAAAATTGACGGTTCCTACCCCCACTAACCCACCCCCTAAACCCCCCACCCTACCCCCGCCCCTGCACCCCCACCCCAACCCCTGGGTGCAGGGGCGGGGGTAGGGTGGGGGGTTTAGGGGGTGGGTTAGTGGGGGTAGGAACCGTCAATTTTGCGAACGGAGCATCAGAGGTGCCCCAAAATGCCAGTGACACCGGAGTGGCACCGTATTCCAGTGGCACTAGAAGCCCACCGAAAAATTCTTTGACCTAGTAAAATTTTAGAGTAATAGGAAAAGTTTTTATTTTAAATTCAAAGAACATTGATTTTAGTAATACTAATTTTTCTAAATTTTGGTCATGCAAACTTGGGTTGATTAAATTTGAAAAAAAGTATAGGGTTGACAAAAGATTTTATTTTCTAACAATGTGGATAAAGATAATTTTTAGAAAATTAGATTGATGACTGTCTAGCTAATATCTTGTTCCTATAAATAGATTGTGTAAAATACTTCCCATTCATATGTTAAGTTGTCCTAATTATTTTAGTTATTCAGTTTGTTTCTTGAGGGCAAACACCGTTTAAGTGTGATGGATTTGACAAGTACATTTTGTACTTATTATTTACTCATATTTAAATATTTCTGTGTGTAAATAAATTTAACTTAGGATAAAACTAATGATTTTGTTTTGTAAATAATTCAAAGTTATCATTTTCTTTATAAAAAGTGTGTTCAAAACAAATTTGAAATTTTCAAACAAAAACTAGGCCAAATGGAACAAAACTTTGAAGAAAACAAATTTTTCGGGATACTTAGGCTCAAATTTGTCAGAGACCGCAGAAGGGAAAAGAGTTCAGCATAAAATATTGTACTCGCCACAAATTTAAAGCAAAAAATTGTGGGTTGGCTGGCGACCCATGGGGTGCGCGCCCCGGACCCAACCTTGGGCTTTAATGGTATGAAATGGCAGCTGCCTCAACTTTTGGAAAGATATTCGCATATTCCCGTTGGGGGGCACACCCAAGAGGCTGCCTGACTGCTAACTACGAAATATTGATGTTAGCTGTGACATTAGAATGGTGGTTTTGCAATACTAGCAGAGAAAACAATGGTCCGGGGCTAGGGGGACCTGCTGGGCGCACACCCGGGACCCTGCCCTAGAATTCTGAACTCTATTTGTTAAAGGCCATCTCCTAACTATTAGTTTGGATGGCATTATGTTGTTCATGCACTCATGTCTTAGGAAATGATTGCTACGAGTTCGGGGCATTGTGCCTGGAGTTCCTTGTCTTTTGTCCATCCATACTCTGATGGTATCAATCTCACAGTTAATCTCTCAATAAAAGCACCAATGATGGGATTTAGCCCAATGACTATGTCGTACGAAAAACTAAAATGGGAATAAGAACAGTATTGATGAAATATAGAGCTTTTCGTAGGCTTGTATTAGGTAAATCCAGCATGGGTTACAATGGAGGATTTATCTCCTCTTTATAGTCTAACTAGTATTATGACCCGTGCCATGCACGGGGTCAAAAGAAATTTATGTCGATTCTGAATTATTTCAATGAAATTTATTTTTCGAAATAAAGAAAATATATTTCTCACATGATTTTTAATACTACAAACGAAAAAAGCCAAAGTAAAATAAATAATATTTGAGGAACATAATGTAGAGTTAACCATGTTTATTTTAATACCAAATTTTCTGAAAGACTTCAGGGTATAGAATATTTTCAGTATGGTTGCAAGGGTTTTCATTGTCATCTAAAACTAATATTTTTTATCCTCTCTTTGTCTTCACTCGTGAAACAGCAAAATATAGTTGACCATGTATGAACACTGACTTGGTTAAAAATAATCCCATAAATGACAATGTTTGACCTTGACTTTTGTTGATAGTCATAGCAAAACATAAGGCGATCGGGAATTGTCTTCTTTGGAACTTCAAGGGTAGCCCTGGATCAATTGGTACAAAATTCATTCTAGGGATGTAAACTTTTTTCACGACTTGATTTCCCGAAACCACAATTGCACCGATAACATTATTTCGCAGCTCTTGAACGATTAATCTTGTCCCATTACACATTCCAGATGTTTGGTCAATGTTCCTCAATAGCATAATCGGTACCCCTTTTTTCAAGACTATTTTGTGGTTTGGGATTCCTGAACACTTGATTTCGTTCAAAAACTCAACTGTTATCCAATCCCCATCAACAACTACATATGCTTCTGCTTGGCACGAAGAATCAGAACTCAAGTACTCCTTTCCATCACCAAGAATGAGGGACATAATAAATTCATTTATCATTTCAACTACTTCGAGAGTAGGTGTCAATAGTGCTCTATCCTCAAAAAAAGAATAATTTTTCATATTTTCAAACATAACTCATTTCCCAATATAAGACTTAAACTTTTTCAAATTTTTCATTTTTCATTTTTCAAATTTTCATTTTTCATTTTTCAAATTTTTCATTTTTCATTTTTCAAAGTTTTCATTTTTCATTTTTCAAACTTTTTCCCAATATAATTTTTCAAATCTTTCATTTTTCGTATCTCCACTAAATAGCACTAAAACAAAAGTCATTTCCAATATAAGACTTAAACTTTTTATCCCTTAAATAACACTTAATAATATCTAGAAGGAGAAATAATATTCTGTGAAAGTGAACATTTATCTAAATAATGACTAATGAATAATGACTAAAAGTACTTTGGGAAATAAAAAACATATGTTTCTATTTAGGGAAAGTCATTATGTTTTAGTGTTATTTAGGTAAATTTCTCTGACTATGAATATATAATGGATTATCAATTATTTCAATTGAACACAGCGTAGTTGCCATTTTGATAAATGAATCACGTGTTAGATATAAGTAAATTTTCTAATTTAAAAATTATATTTGAACTTTGAATTATTTACATTGATCATTCCGTATCAATGCCTAAATTTTTTTCCTCGCATGCATATCATTTTATTTTTAAATATGTACTTACAGTTTTTATATTCACCCATTTCATATCAAATTTATTGCAAAGTTTTGAATTTTTTTTAAAATTTTTTAAATATGAATATATTTTCACTCAACTTTGTTAATATTCGTCCATTCAATTATTTAAAATATTCAATATGTATAAACTATTGATAAAAAATAATTAGTGAGCTATATGCATACTTAGATAAATCAACAATTACACATTTTAATTATCTATGATTTCTATGAAACATGTGAACGACGTTTAATTTTTTACGGATGCAGATTATAATTGGTAAAATATCATGACTATAATTTAAAAAAGTACACATATTTTTATATTTTATTGGAGTGTTCATTTTCACATGGAGAATTTGTTAAATCATTCTAAAATTGACATCTAATTATAAATTTTGTATAAAACTTTATTTATTTAACAATAGTTAATTTATATATACTAACGATTTAGATATGAACATAAGAAAATATTTCAATGCTCATTAAAAAGCAACCATATAAATTTTAAATACAAACATTCTAGTCACTAAAATATCCCGTTTGATTTTGTTATTTTAAAAAAATAAAAAATGTTATGTATCAAATTACCTTAAAACAATAAAAAAATTAAATATATTAAGATAAAACAATATCTAAAGTACCTACCTTTTCTATCCTTTTTTTGTTGAAGTATTCTTTTTATCTTTTCTCTTGCATCTCTAGCTGATCCCGTCCATGTATCGTCAACTTGATTTTCCATAGCCCCAATTGAAATTGAAAAATAGGATGCTCCTACCACCAATCTTTTTAAAAACAAAAGGCAGAAGTTGAATGAACGATTCTCCGTTTATTTATTGCATAATAATTCTGAATGGCAATGTATTGAAATGGAAAATGAAAATGGGTGGTGGATGTCACATTTCAACTCATTATATATCTCTTTTTATAATAGGATTTTGACCCAAGTATATAAGAGTTTCCATAAATTTGAATATAAAAGTGAGCAATTTAACTCATTGCGAGTAAGATATATAAGTAAGGAATTTAGAAATCATCCTAAATAGGACTAAAACATAGAGAAAAGTACCAAAATAGGACTTTCATGTTTTTTTTCTCGGAATAGGACTTTGCACTGTAGTAATGTGACTTTGCATTGTGGTAATGTGGTAGTGTACATGTGCAAATTACTATACTTTCTTGGTAATGTATATGACCATGTTTGGTAATGTAAGTCCTATTTCGGAAATAAAAACATGGAAGTCCTATTTTGGATTATATTTTCAATGTTTTAGTCCTACTTTGGTCTTTCTACCTAAGGAATTCAAAATAATATTGGGTTCATCCTAGATATAACGAATTCCTTACTAAAAATAAATGAATCGAGAATAATATTATTGATTATCCAAAATACATAATTAACGATTGCCATATATAAGTTAAGGGATCCAAAATAATGTTAGTATTATCCAACATACATAATATAAGTAAAGTGATGAATAATATACTCGTGATCATAATTATCAAATTTAGTACTATTTAGGATTGTTTCTTAATAATATTTTTCGTAAATTTTGTCAATCACCTTGTGTTAAGGAAATAATCTATTCTTGGAAATCATATCATATCATTCATGGCTATGCATGAATCATTTTTTAACGCAGGGCCCTATTAGGATAGTTTCACATTCAATTATTTACTTACATTGTGTTTGTTTGGAGGTAGGTGAAGGTAGATGGAGGTAGATTTAATATTCTACCTTGTTTGGTGACAAAAATTTTGATAGGTAAAGGGAGGTAGGGAGAGGTAGAAGAAGGTAGTGTTACCTCTTACAGTGTATTTTTGGTGACCGCCAAATTCGCGAAACATCCAGGTAATACACAGTATTATCCGTGGCTACCCTTCAATCGCCATCTTCACCGGATCGAAAATCAATCCCCATCTTCACATCGCTCTTCCGATCGCCATCTCCAAACTCCAAGACAGGTATTCTGGTTGCCATCCTTACTATTTCGATAGTCATCCCCTTCGCTGCTTTTTTGTTTCAATTTTCACTTTTTTTTTCACTTCAATTTTCACTTTTTTTTCATTCACCAGATTTCGTTCTGCTCTGCTATGCTTGCTTCAATTTCTACTTTTTTCAATTTTGAATTTCAAGTTTTCAATTTTCATTTTTCTTTTTTTTCTCCTGTTTTTTAATGGTTTTTTCTGTTCTTTTCCTGCGCTTCCTTTGCTTCTGCCCAAATCCAGGACGGTATTCTTCTCTCCCTACTAGAAAGAGTTGCAGAAGATGCTTCCCATCTGGTGTTTGTTCTAATACGGAGTATGTCAAACCTGAGTTGCAGAAGATGGTTGGGTTTCTGGTTATTTTAGTAATTTTATTATTTCCCTACCTCACGTTACTTAATAAATATCCAAACACATTTTTTAAGTCATTACCTCACTTTACCTACCTTCAATTACCTATCATTACCTACCTAATAAAACTTTTACCTACCTCCAACCAAACATACCCTTACCTTTTGTGTTTTACGAAAGACTTTATTATGGTGAGAATTCCTTGGTAAAGGATTAATATATGTAGCATGGTCCTAAATTTCTATTTAAATTAATTAAAAATATTATATTTTTTTATTTTTTAAATAGTATTTATATTTCTTCATATTTAATTTTAATTTTTTATATTATCATCGTAATTGGAGTTCGTATTGTTGTAATCTGAATACATATATTTACATATAATATTATTGATTATCCAAGATACATAATTAAGGATTGCCACATATAAGTAAAGAGATCGAAAATAATATTAGTATTATCCAAGATACATAATATAAGTAAGGTGATGAATAATATACTCTATCGTGATCATAATTTACAAATTTAGTATTATTTAGGATTGTTTCTTAATAAGATTTTCCGTAAATTTTGTTAATGACCATATATAAGTAAGGTGATCAATAATATATACTCATAAAAGTAAGACAAATAAGTTAGGAATCAAAATTAGTATTGGAATTTCTATTAGTATAGGTACTCTATTGATTTCAACCTATATATACACGAATTTTCATTAATAAATCTTTGTTACTTATTAATTTAAGTATGAAATTTATAAATATGGAAGTAAGATAAAGGATTAATATATGTAGCATGGTTCCAAAATTCTATTTAAGTTAAATAAAAATTATTATATTTCTTTTTTATTTTATAAATATTATTTATATTTTTTGTATTCATTTTTAATTGTTTATATTGTCCTCGTAATAGGAATTCGTATTGTTGTAATCTGAAAACATATATTAACATATAATATTATTGAGTATCCAAGACACATAATTAAAGATTTTCATATATAAGTAAACGGATCCAAAATAATATTAGTATTATCCAACATACATAATATAAGTAAGGTGATGAGTAATATACTCGTGATCATCATTTTCAAATTTAGTATTATTTAGGATTGTTTCTTAATAATCTTTTTGTAAAAAATAATATTATAATTTCCATTAATATAGGTACTTTATTGATTTTCACTCTTATTATACACGAATTTCCACAATAAACCATTGTAACTTATTAATTCAAGTATGTAATTTTTAAATATGGAAGTAAGATAAAGGATTAATATATGTAGCATGGTCTTAAAATTCTATTTAAATTAAATGAAAAATATTATATTTATTTTTTAAACAGTATTTATATTTTTTCATAATTATTTTTAATTATTTTATATTATCATCATAATGGGAGTTCGTATTGTTGTAATCTGAAGGAAAGAATTGTGTTGAAGGCCAGTGATTATCGTGTAGAAAATCTACAGCGAATTATTTTCAACGGGAGATCCGCTGGTGCATCGTGTGTGTGTGTGTGTGTGTGTGTGTGTGTGTGGAGAATTTGAGTTCAACACAGTTTAGTTGCCATTTTGATAAATGAATTACGTGTTAGATATAAGTAAATTTTCTAATTTAAAAATTATATTCGAACTTTGAATTATTTACATTGATCATTCTATATCAATGCCTGTTTTTACCTCGCATGCATCCCATTTTATTTTAAAATATGTACTCACATTTTTTTATATTCACCCATTTCATATCAAATTTATTTCAAAGTTTTTATTTTTTTTAAAAAAAAGTTTTAAATATGAATATATTTTTACTCAACTTTGTTAATATTCGTCCATTCAATTGTTTAAAATATTCAATATGTATAAACTATTTTTCATAAAAAAATATAGAAAAATGAAATTAAAGAGTCATGGTTAGACATCATTTTATTCCTATTTATGTAAATATAAAATTTATAAAAAATAATCAGTGAGCTATATGCATACCTAGATAAATCAACAATTATACATTTTAATTACCCATGATTTCTATGAAACCTATGAACGATGTTTAATTTTTTTACGGATGCAGATTATAACTGATAAAATAACATGACTATAATTAAAAAAAGGACACATATTTTTATCTTTTCTTGGAGTGTTCATTTTCACATGGAGAATTTGTTAAATCCTTCTAAAATTGACATCTAATTTTTAATTTTGTATAAAACTTTATTTATTTAACATAAATTAATTTATCTATACTAACGATTTAGATATGAAGATAAGAAAATTTTTCAATGCTCATTAAAAAGGAACCATATAAATTGTAAATACAAAAACTCTAGTTACTAGAATATCCCGTTTAATTTTGTTATTTTAAAAAATTCAAAAATGTTATGCATCAAATTACCTTAAAACAATAAAATAAAATTTAATATATTAAGATAAAACAATATTTAAAGTACGTACCTTTCCTCTCCTTTTTTGTTGAAGTATTCATTTTCTTCTTTCGCTTGCATCTCTAGCTGATCTCGTTCATGTATCGTCAACTTGATTTTTCATAGCCCCAATTGAAATTGAAAAATAGGATGCTCCTACCACCAATCATTTTAAAAACAAAATGCTGAAGTTGAATTAACGATTCTCTGCTTATTTATTGCATAATTAATTCTGAATGCCTATGTATTGAAATGGAAAATGAAAATGGGTGGTTGATGTCACATTTCAACTCATTATATATCACTTTTTATAATAGGATTTTGACCCAAGTATATAAGAGTTTTCATAAATTTGGATATAAACGTGAGCAATTTAGCTCATTGCCAGTTAGATATATAAGTAAGGAATTCAAAATAATATTGGGTCCATCCTAGATATAACGAATTCCTTACTAAAAATAAACGAATCCAGAATTATATTACTCCGGTATTGATTATCCAAGATACATAATTAACGATTGCCATATATAAGTAAAGAGATCCAAAATAATATTAGTATTATCTAACATACATAATATAAGTAAGGTGATGAAAAATATTCTCGTGATCATAATTTTCAAATTTAGTACTGTTTAGGATTGTTTCTTAATAATATTTTTCGTAAATTTTGTCAATCACCATATGCTAAGGAAATAATCTATTCTTGGAAATCATATCATACCATTCATGGCTATGCATGAATCATTTTCTAACGCACGGCCCTATTTGGATAGTTTCTAACGCACGGCCCTATTTGGATAGTTTCTAACGCACGGCCCTATTTGTTTAGAATTTTTTTCCCGGAATGCATGAGTTCTTTTGTTGTATTATTTTTGATAATGCCACAAGGGGGAAGAGTATAGGAGTATATGCTTTAATTTGTTATTTGGTTGTAGCATATCTTCCATGTGTTTGTCATTATCAAAAAGGGGGAAATTGTTGGAATGCATGAGTTCAACCCTTTCTGTGTTGTTAAGTGTTGACTCACAGGTTTTGATAATTGACAAACATAACTTATTCAAGTCAAGATCAAAGTGCTACAACGACAAACACGAAGACTTGAGGTACCATTCCTTGAAGTATTCAAGAAGGTGCACAGGATTTTATTAGAGTTCGAGTCGCGTTCGTGCGCCTAACGGAGGACTCGGAGGAGTAGAAGATTTCCGAAGACTTTTTATTTATTTGAGTCGTAGGAATAATTGTAAGGATGACAAAAATATCTTCTCTCCAAAATTATTTTTATGAGAGTTAAAATAAAAATTATATTTATTTTTGGAGTCAATTGAAAAATCTTTTTAACTGTTCAAAATAGATTTATTGAGTCAGTTACAAAAAGTGTGTCAAACATTTATCAAAATATTTATTTTGATATTATAAAATATTTTTGGTAAGCAAAATTATTTTATTCAAATATTTTTCGTGTATTTCGTTAGACACACAAAATATTTTTGGGACTCAATTTCTACACTCCAAATATCCTTCATTTGTTCAAAATTTATTTTTGAATTATGTTTGAGGCGATGGGGAGCCTTACCCCTGAAATTCTTGTTGGAAACAATCACATAAACTCCATTCTGTCCTTCACCTTGCCCACATGCTTGTGTTCTTCGTGTCTGGGCATTATTGTTGCAATAATCGATTTTACCTCTAGAATTAATCGATTATCGCGTCCAGAAGGAACTAATCGATTAACACCTTTGGCTTTAATCGATTATCACTTTTTTGCGCAGAAGGATTTTAGCTCTGGTGAAATTAATCGATTTTTTCACTTGCATTAATCGATTTTTATGATGCATTAATCGATTATGGTGATGCATTAATCGATTATTTTGCTGCATCTTTTCTGCACAGCTTGTTTTCTTGGACCAACGGATATATTCCTTCACCTCCTATTTAAACACACTTCCTTGGTCATCTTTACAATGAACAAGCACTCCTAAACTCCCCCAATCTTGAGGTTATAATTCTCCATTCATTTCTTCCTCAAATTGATATATTTTGAGAGAAAACTAAGTGTTTTCAAGAGAGTGTTCTTGTCATCCATAGAGCTTTAATCAATTCTCATTTCTACTCTTTTGAGAGCTATTGTTGAGAGGTTGAAGAAGATTTTTCTTCTTGTTGTTCAAGACTTATATGACTTAAGTTTTGGTTGTGAAGTCTTGTAGAGGGCATATCTACGAGCGGTTGTGTCGAGGCTTGTGGGATTCAAGTTCTCGAGTTGTAAACGGTTTGTTAAGCACCCGTAAGCTTAACGGAAGTAGTGGTAGCTTCGAGAGAGTCTCTCGGGGAACTGGACTAGCCACGAGGTGGTGAACCAGTATACATCGGTGTGTTCTTTGCCTTCTCTCTTTTATTTCCGCTGCACTTACGATTATATTATTAATCCTGCGAAAATCGGTAATCATTCTCAATAACTCTATTCACCCCCCCTCTAGAGTTGCACGCCTTGTCTAACAACTCGGATATTACGTGGCGTGCTGACATGTTTAAATTTTGCCACATAGCCATGCCAAATGTCGAATTTCTGTACATCCGAGTCTCCTTTATTATATTAAAGGATTTTAACATATACAAGGTATGTAATTTCGTGCACTACATGGTAGGGAATCAGTCACGCTGCTACAAGTAATTTGACTATTTGTAATTAGGTATTTTTTGAAGATTCTAAAACTTGCCACAAATACCCCATTACAAAAAGTATTTATGGCAAAATTTGATGCAAAAAAAATTATTTGCGGTAAAATTTGATGTAAAAAAAGTCAAATTTTTTATAGCATCGTCAATCCCCCCTCTATCCCATGATTTGGGGAATCACGTCTTCCTTTCATACCGGGTCTAATCCATCATTTTGGGTCAGCCTTTGGCCCACCACTTTACCCGATCTTTGGGTTTCGACCTTCCTTCTCGTTCTGAAACTGGGCTTTATCCATGTTGGGCCTCGAAATTGCATTTGGGGTGCCTAGGGCCTGTTTTGTGGTCTGAATATCCATCATTATGTATGTATACACACACACACACACACTCTCTCTCTCTCTCCAAAATAATCTTCCTGTTGCGTATTATGATTTTTCACTAAAGTTATTTTTATATCATTTTTACAAAAAAGATTTGGAATTCAAAATTTAAAGTTTAATATTTTAAAACTTCATTAAAAGATTTATAAAATTAGATATGACATAACTATACTATTTTATTAAATAGGCAACGAAAATAGACTAAAAATTGATAAAGTTTGACTCGGTAAATACTTAATGAAAAGATTAATTTTTGAGAGAGGGAATATATTCAAGGGGATGTTTTTATATTTAAAATGAGTAAAATAAACAAAAATAGACGCCAAAAAACTCCATCAATGACAAGTACTCTTTACATTCTAAAAAATGTAACCAATCATTAATTAAAAACGACAAATCAAATACGGAGTATAAAAAACCATTAAGGCTATGTGTTATGGGGCATTTCCGCCTCCGTGAAATGAGGACGGCGACGGCGTGATGGACGTGTTACGCGCCTAACTTGACGAAGGCCACTGGCGTTGCCTGCTGAAGTAGTCGTTCCAACGACTATTTGAGCCATTTGATTTTTTTGTATTCTAACGGTAAAAAATTAGTATAAATATGGGGTTGATGATTAAGAACCTCACTCCCAAAGAAATCAGTATACATATTACATACGTAAAAAATGAGTTTCGATGAAGAAAATAAACAGTTCCCATCTTCTGACGAAGATGATACAACTTTTTTGTTCTTGCATTCCGTTGGAGCTATGGTAAGCACTATCGTAGCAACTTCTAATGAGAATTCATCTGAAGAGATTACACACCGGAGAAGGATCAATTGGGACCGTGATGCTGCAAACCAACGCCTGATTGAAGATTATTTTCAAAAACTCTAGTTTACAACGACGATCAATTTAAACATCATTTTCGGATGTGTCAGAACTTATTTAATTCCATTTTCAACGACATGGAGGAGCATATTTCCTTTTTTCAACAAAGGATATATGCTACGGGAGCTTAAGGTTTCACCGCGCTCCAAAAGTGCACCAGCGCCATCCGACAACTTGCATGTGGCATGGCTAGTGATTCATGGGACGAGTATTTGAAGATGTCAAACAAAGTTTCTCGTGATAGTCTTTCTAATTTTTGTAAAGGTAAATAACTTATACTTTAATAAATCATACGCCTAAATACTTTCTTATATTAATATGCATGACTTAAACGGTTAAACTAAATTTTAAGGCATCATCCATCTATACGGTCGTAGATATTTGCGAAAGCCGTCGTGGACCGACATTCAACATATATATAGCATCCACGAGCATGTTTATGATTTTCTTAGGATGCTTGGACGCATTGATTGTACAATCTAGGTATCGTAAAACTGTCCCACGGCTTAGAGAGGTTCACATCAACACGGTGATCACCCAAGTCCAACTTTAATGATGGAAGCGGTCGCTTCACATGATCTCTGGATATGGCATGTGTTAATTTATTTGGGTTGGCCCAAACGTATTAATAATATTTGACACCCAACCCAGCAGCCCATTTACTCAAGCCCAACCTTTATTCCTAACCTAATTGAGCTTACCTTAATTAGCTCCTAAATTTCTACTATAAATTGAGGCTTCCCCTTTGTGTTTCTTCACCGTGCAAAACTCCTTTCTCTCTTTGTGAGACTTCCGTGTGGGTTTCTTTCTTCCTTTGTGAGTTGATCTCAGTTCTTCTCCGTTTCTTTGTGAGTGGAGTGTGGCGAGATTGGGTTGGAGTGTTGCTCCTTTTGGTACCCTTGTAGTGCACAATTACGGACTGAATTTTTACGGGTGACCTGAGCCTAATCGGAATAGATAAATGCACATAACAGTGGTATCGGAGCCTGGTTTGTGCTCAGTATTTATTTATTTTTCCGTGAGGTGTCTTTTCTCCTTTTCTGTTCGGATCTGCTGTCCCTTACCAACTTCTTCTGTTTGCTTTTTGAAACCCATCTCAACCTTTCATTTTTTTTAAAACAAAGGGATCTATCCAGTGGGTTAATCTTTTGTGGTCAAAGTTTGAATGCCATTTTTTTGGTAATTCCTTGTTCGGTCAGTGGGTCAATCCCCACTATCATCACTAAAACAAATTGAAGTCAGTTGAAGGAAAGAAAGGCCGGATCCGTAAGAGCAGAAGAAAGCGCAGGCCGGAGTAGGAGAAGCAGAAGATTCCAACTGCTGTTCATTTATCCGCTGCCGGCGCTCTCAATTTAATTCCTCCCTGGAGTAAGTAAGTCGAATCTAGGCATTAGATTCGCCCAGGTACACAACTCTTTATCCCTTTGCTTTCGTAGCATTTTTTAGGGTTGTTTAATTCCGCTGCATTATTTCCGATTGCCTAATTCCACTATAGTTTGTGCTCGTGTGAAAGAACAACGGGATTGAGTAAGCAATTTTGCTTACATAATAATCTTGGGTTGTTCGTGCGATTGCTTCACACACGTGAGCCAAATTTTGGAAAATTTAGGCCAAATTCTTCGTGCTTATGTGTTGCTGATTTTTCAGTTTTTTATTCTCTTTTGTGGGTGTTTTTCTCCTTTGTGGTGATTTTTTGATCATTTTTCTCCTTAGTGGATATGTCTACTATGAATCAGTATGCTTTGACTCCATTTAATGGAAAAACTGATTTTAGTATTTGGAAACAAAAATTGAAGTGTGTTCTTGTTCATCAAAAAGTTTATAGGGCTGTTAGTAATTCATATCTAGAAACAGACGCTAAAGAGAAAAGAGTTGAAATGAATGAAATTGCTTGTTCCATAATCTACTTAAACTTAACTGACTGTGTGATCAGAAAAGTTGGTATTTTGGAATGTGCTAAAGATCTTTGGAATAAACTTGATGAACTTTATACTGAAACTTCTTTTCCAAATAAGATTTTCTTGCTTGAAAAATTTTTCAAGTTTAGATTGGATATGTCTAAGGACATAGAAGAAAATCTAGATGTTTTCACCAAACTGATTTCTGATATTAAATTAACCGGTGATAAACATATTGATGACTACACCCCTATTGCTCTTTTGAATGCTATTCTTGATTCCTACAGTGATGTTAAATCTGCAATTAAATATGGTAGGGATAATATTTCTCTTGATGTTGTTGTGAATGGTCTCAAGAGTAAGGAATTAGAGTTGAAAAATTTTAAGAGTGATAAAAATTCTGGGGAGGTTATGCATGTGAGGGGTAGAACTTTAAATAAGTTTCAAAACCATAAACATGCTAACAATGATAACTCAAATGTGAGAAAAATTCAACTAGAGAAGGGGTAAGTCTAGATCCAAGTCTAAAACAAGAAAATGCTACAATTGCAAAAAGATCATGCTAATATGGCTAGTGAATCAAACAACTTTGGTGATGTGTTAATGATCAAAGACTATGCTTATTTGAACTCTGTGCTACCGGATTATCTATGTGAATCTGATTGACTAGTTGATTCTGGTTGCACCTTTCATATGTCACCATTTAAAAACCTTTTTTCAAACTATCAAGAGATTGATAATGATATTGTGTCCATGGCTAATGAAAAGAAATGCAAAGTTTTTGGAATTGGAGATATGTGTCTTAAATTTGACTCTGGATCTATTGTGAACTTAAAAAATGTTAGACATGTTCCTGATTTATCCTATAATTTGCTTTCTTGTGCATCTCTTGAAAATGAGGGTTTTGAGGGAAAATGGGGAAAAGGTGTTATGAAAATCATGAAGGGTTCAATTATTGTTTTCAAAGCTGAAAAGAAAAATAATTTGTATGTGTGCAAAGCTAAACCTGTTTGTGAGCATGCTAATTCTGTGGTTGATAATTTTGTTCTATGGCATAAACGGTTGGGTCACATGAGTAATAAAGGACTTGAAATATTGCATAAAAATGGACACTTGGGTAGTGATAAGCTTATGCATGTTCCTTTCTGTGAATCTTGTGTGCTTGGAAAACAAACCCGCGTTAGTTTTCCTAACTCGAATCCTGTTACTCGAACTAAGTGTTCTGATGTGCTTGAATATTTGCATGCCGATGTGTGAGGTTCCGCAAGTGTTTCCACTCATGGAGGGAACCAATATTTTCTTTCCATAATTGATGATTATTCTAGGAAAGTTTGGGTCTTACTTTTGAAACAAAAATCTGAAGTTTTTGATAAATTTAAAAACTGGAAAGTTTTAATTGAGAACCAAACTGGGAAGAAAATAAAAGCACTTAGGACAGATAATGGCCTTGAATTTTGCAACAAACAAGTTGATAATTTGTGTGTTACTTGGGGTATTAAAAGACACAAAACTGTTCCTTACACGCCTCAACAAAATGGGGTTGCTGAGAGGATGAACAGAACTCTTTTAGAGAGGGTGAGGGCTATGTTAGCTACTTCTGAACTTTCTAAAAAATTTTGGGGTGAAGCTGTTTGCACTGCTGCTTATTTGATCAATAGGTCTCCATCTATACCTTTAGGAAGGATTTGCCCAGAAGTTGCTTTCTCGGGTAAACCCTTAGATTTATCAAACCTGCGTGTGTTTGGTTGTGCTGGTTATGTGCATCAAATGAATGATAAACTTGAACCAAGATCTAAACTATGTGTTTTCTTGGGGTACTCTGACGGGGTAAAGGGTTATAGGTTGTGGGTAAAAGGTGAACCAGGTTTCAAAATTGTGATAAGTAGAAATGTTGTTTTCAATGAAAATAATTTTCCTTGTTTGTCCTTGCCTATTCCCAATGTTGAAAATGTGGCTCCAAATGAGGTGGAGCAATTGCCTGTTATCATTCCTACTGATGTGCATGTAGAAACTAATGAACATGTTGATTCACACACTAATGAAGATGAGACTATTTCTAATGAGGTGGAGCATGATAGTGTAGAATCACATGTTGAAAATGATTTGCATGACTATCANTGCTATGAAATGTGAGATGGAATCCCTTCGTGTTAACCAAACGTGGAAACTTGTGCCAAAACCTGAAAATTGTTCTCTTGTGGACTGTAAGTGGTTGTTTAAAATTAAGCAAGAACCTGAAAATGTTAGGTTTAAGGCTAGACTTGTGGCTAAGGGATTTACTCAAAAGGAGGGAATAGATTATGTAGAAATTTTTTCTCCTGTTGTCAAGTTCACCACAATTAGAATCATGTTGTCTTTAGTTGCTCAGTATAATTGGGAATTAAAACAAATGGATGTCACTACTGCTTTCTTACATGGTGATCTTGATAAAAATATTTATATGCACCAACCTGAAGGATTTGTTGATCCTAAGTTGTCTAATCATGTGTGCTTGTTGAAAACGGCGTTGTATGTTTTAAAACAATCACCTAGGCAATGGAACATTAAATTTGATAATTGCATGAAAAACTTTGGTTTTAAAAGAAGTAATGCTGATCACTGCTTGTACTTCAAGAACACTTTCTCTGTCCCTGTTTTTCTTCTCCTTTATGTGGATGATATGCTAATCATTAGTCCTAGCTTAAAGTCTATTGAGCATGTTCAAAATTATCTTTGCAAAAATTTTGACATGAAAGTTTTAGGAGATGCTAGAAAAATACTTGGCATGAATATTGTTAGGGACAGAAAGAAATCTACTTTTGTTTTAAATCAAAATTCCTACATTGATAAGATTTTGAGTAAATTTGCTATGTCTGATGCTAAACCTGTGGATATTCCTTTAGCTGCTCATTTTGTGTTGAGTAAGGGTATGTACCCTAAAACTAAAGCTGAAATTAATGAAATGAAAAGTGTGCCTTATTCGAATACTATTGGTTTTGTGATGTATCTTATGAATAGCACTAGGCCTGATATTGCTTATGCTGTTAGTTGTTTGAGTAGATACATGTCTAATCCTGGTATGGCTCATTGGAATGCTCTAAAATGGCTTTTGAGATACTTAAATTCTACTAGGAATGTTGGTTTAACTTTTTCAAGAAGTGATAAAAGTGTTAAATTGATTGGCTATGTGGATTCTAACTATGCAAACGATAGGGATAATAGAAAATCTACTACTTCCTACGTGTTCACTTTGTGTGGTTCTTGCATTAGTTGAAAATCTCAACTTCAACACATTGTTGCTTTATCTACTACTGAGGCTGAGTATGTTGCAGCCATAGATGATTTTAAAGAAGCCATTTGGCTTAAAGGTCTTTTATTTGAAATATGCTTGCTCGATAAGAATGTGGTTGTTTTTTCTGATAGTCAATCTGCCATTCAACTATGCAAAAATCTTGTTTTTCATGAGAGAACAAAACATATTGATGTTAGGTTTCATTTTATTAGAGACATAGTTGAAAAGGGCATTGTCATGCTGGAGAAAATTCCTACGGAGTCTAATCCAGCTGACATGGGTACTAAGTGTTTACCTGTTGAAAAATTTACCTTATGTCAAAAGATTTTAAACCTATCTCTGTGATTGTGTAGTGATCTTTTGTTTCTTTTTTGTCTTTGTGACTTTCGTTTTTTTTGAACTCGATGACCCAATGGTAGAGTTCGACTCTTCGTGAGTTATTTTTGGCATGCTTTGTGATGTTGCTTAGTCTTCGTGACTTGAGAGTACTTTGTGAACTCTCCACCACTACGTGTGTTATCATTTGTTGATTACACATTTAGTGGTTATTAGGCTATGATGAGTCCCGCGGTTCCTTGTCTAACTATGTGCACTACTTTGGGCCAAAGGTGGAGATTGTTAATTTATTTGGGTTGGCCCAAACATATTAATAATATTTGACACCCGACCCAGCAGCCCACTTACTCAAACCCAACCTTTATTCCTAACCTAATTAAGCTTACCTTAATTAGCTCCTAAATTTCTACTATAAATTGAGGCTTCCCCTTTGTGTTTCTTCACCGTGCAAAACTCCTTTCTCTCTTTGTGAGACTTCCGTGTGGGTTTCTTTCTTCCTTTGTGAGTTGATCTCAGTTCTTCTCCGTTTCTTTGTGAGTGGAGTATGGCGAGATTGGGTTGGAGTGTTGCTCCTTTTGGTACCCTTGTAGTGCACAATTACAGACTGAATTTTTACGGGTGACCTGAGCCTAATCGGAATAAATAAATACACATAACAGCATGTGTTTTTGGCATTGCAAGTTTGTGTAATGATATCAATGTCCTCGATCAATCTCCAATATTTGATGACTTTTACAATGGCGTTGCACCTCCATCTTCTTTTATTTGTAATGACACATATTACAAATATGGATATATATTATCTTGCGGATGACATTTATCCGGAGTATGCAACACTTATGAAATCATATACATGCTCCAGCGCAGAGGATGGGAAAAGAACACATCTCAAGAAGGTGCAAGAGGTTGCCAGAAAGGATAATGGAAGAGCATTTGGTATAGGGCTGGGTCGGGAAAACCGAAAACCGAACTGAAATTGATCGAAACGAGCTAGAAAAAAACCAAACCAAATGTAAAAAAACCGAACCGAACCGTTATTGTTTGGTTCCGTTTTGGTTTTTACTTTGAAAAACCGAACCGAATAAACCAAACTTATTTATATGCATCTTTTTTATTTATATGACTATATGTGATATGTATAAAAATCATATAAACAAAAATGTGAATATATTACTAGTCGATTAAAGTTTTTTTCTTAACTGTTAATTAAACATTTTAACCATATTATAAACTTTAAAAAATCTAAGAATATAACTAATCCTAATATTGAATTATATAACATTAAAAATTAATATGAGTATTTAACATATTTACATAAAAAAAACTTTGATGTTATAATGTAAATGAAAGTATTATATCAAAAAAACATAAATTCTCTGTACTTGATTTTACATACGATATCTTTAGGATTATTTGGAATTTCCTAGATGTTTGTTAGGCACTTGACACATATTTTGTATGTAAAATTGAACCGAATAGAACACTAACCTTCCGTTCGGCTTTTTTTGTGTGTAAAAATCAAGCAAAAAACCAAACACAAACTTACGTATTGTTATTGTTTCGTCGAGTTAGTATTTATACAATTTTTAATGCTTATAAGTGTTTACTTTTATAAACCGAAAAAAACTAAAATAAAAACCGCATAAAACTGAACCGAATAACCAACGGTTTACATATTTTTTATGCAAAACCGAACCGAACCGAACCGCCAACTTACCTTCCGTTTTGTCTTTGGTTTTGTGTAAAAACCGAACCACCAAAACCGAACCCACCCCTAATTTGGTATCCTAAAATGAAATTGGCATATCGTGCGCAACCCAAGCCGTATGTGAAAAAAAACAAAATTAGAGATGCTGTGTAAGAGCATAATTTTAGAAGACAAAGGAAAAGCAGTGTGCCAAAATTATGAGAAGGTCGACGTTCCAGAAATTGAAATTTCCAACAACAAGAAAAATGAAATTCGTGCGGAAGTCCGAAGCAAAGAAATACATAACATGGTTAAAGGAGATTTGGTCGGGCATATTTGGAAAAACTGAGATGTCGACGAGTAATTTTTTTATTCTATTGTATTTTTTATATTTTTAATTGTATTTTTTCGTTGTATTATTTTTCGTTCAAATTTTTCTCTCTCGTATTCCCGTTGTAATTTTATTTTATGTATTGTATTAAAAATATTCTGTTGTTTGAATATATATTTAAACTACTTTATCTACAAAACCAAAAAAACAAACAAAAAATAAAAAAATAAAAAAAATGTGTTCAAGTCCCCGTCAAGCCCCCGCTAAAGCCCTTTCATGTGATGGGTGGTCAAGCCACATGGCACCTACACCGGGGTGGTCAATCTCCTATAGAGCTGACAAATCGGTCAGTCAAGTCGGGTTCGATCACTTCAAGTTTGGGTTATTTCGAGTTCGGGTCAATTCGGGTTCGGGTTGAGAACTGTATGTTCATGACCCAGTGTCATCGGGTTCGGATTGACCCAACGGGTTATGACTTTGGTTTTTTAAATTTTTAAATTCACATTAACACTTACATTTTCTATTAAATAAATTTAAAATATCAAAAAATGTATTAAATCTATAAAATTATTTTATTTGAAACTCTGAAGTAATTTTTAGATATATAAATCAATACAATGAATTAAAAAGTACTTGACCTTTGGGAAAAAATAAGATAATTATGCAATATCATTAAAATTTTGTCTGAAAATATAAATTTTTACACTAAAAACGAGTAGTAAAGTGTATAATTTTGAAAAATTCTTACTTTAGCGGGTCGGTCAGGTCGGGTTTGACCCATTTTTAGCGGGTCATATCGGATTCGGTCAACTTTGGGTTCAATCATCAAAACCTTTGTTCAAAACCCAGTATTTTCAAGTCGGGTTTCGGGTCAAAAACAGGTCGGGTCATTTTTTGCCAGGTCTAATCTCCTATCAAGCCGCCATGATAACACATGACCTAATTTGAATTTTGATATAAAAAAAATACTAACCATATGCTGACCAACAAAGAAAAGAATTGATTTCTTGCCTTTCCATAACATAACAGCTTACGTGGAGAAAGAATATACTCACTCCATTTCAACTACATCAATTCACTAACCTTCTTCGGGTCTTTAATTTGGTTCTCTTTCATAATATATGTTCGGTCTCTCTCTCTGATCTTAATTATCTTCCTCGATTATATCCATCGGTTTCTAACAGCTTAATTACTTGGAGAAAGAAAATATAATATAACACCGGAATTTAATAATTTTGGTGAGGAAATAATTAAAGTAAAGCTTACTCGATCGATGGGTTTCATTGTTTGTGTGTCCATGGGAGCTGCACTGGGCATTGGATTGGTAGCTTTCTTTGCGAGATTTCAGAAAACGAGGTCTAAGAAACGCACTGAGTTGGTATGGCATCTCTATGTATAGAACCATGCTAGGGTGCCACCACATGGGTGCTACCATGAGTACACCCATGCTTCGCACAGACGATAATTGTCTGTGCGACACAGACAATTATCGTCTGTGTTTGTCTGTGCGAAGCATAGGTGCACCCATGTGGTGGCATCCTAGCATTTTCCTTATATATAGAACTCCCAACTGCACAGTTGAATAAACAAGCTACCCACATTTGGATACCATCAAATTTTATTCAATTTGTTTATTTATTTTTTCTTTGTCATTTGATAATATATACTACTCTCCCAGTGTATTTGTCTAATTTGACTTTTCCGCGTCGAAATGAACAAAATTTGAACTCCAATTACTCTCAATTTATATTGCATATTAGCATAATGAAATACAATTTTGAAAGTTCTCAATACGATAAATCTGGATTTTTTGAATTGAAGTTCAAAATTTATCCAGTTTGACTCGAAAAAATCAAACTGAACAAATACACTAGGACGGAGGGAGTATAATTTTTTGTGCGAGACATTAATTTCTTTTATCTTTAAACTATCTATCAACTGTAATGCATATATATAATGCTTGTCAGGCAAATCTAGTTGCAGCATTTGCAAGAATGACAATTGAAGATTCAAGAAAAGTATTTGCCGCAGAAGCATACCCAACTTGGATTGTATTCTCACAAAGACAAAAGTTGAGTTTTGAAGTATATCGATCTAAAAGTCTCTCTTTTCTTTTCTTTCTTGACCAAAAAATGTCCTTTTTAATTTGTTTCTATTTAAAAATTACTTTTATTCCTATTAATTACTCCATATTATCTTATCTATCGAATCATAACGTACTTTTTACTAATAATATATTTCTCACATCCTATTTTTATTCATCATATCAAATATATTTTAGAAAAGTCAATAGAAAAATATTCTTCTCAAATACTCTCTTCGTTTCTTAAAACCCTTTCTCTTTCATTTTTTTTTGTTTTTCTTAAAACACTTCCCTTTTTTTTTTATTAAAAACCACTTTTATCCCTACTTTTTCATACCCTACCTATCACATCATATTTTTTCACTAATAGCTAAACTATCACATCTTACTTTTACCCATCACATCAGGGGCAAAAATTGGAAAGTCAATTAAAATTACACTTTCCTTATTTTTCCCCAAAATCAAAACAGAAACCGTTTTGAGAAACGGAGGGAGTAGCATATTAGTTGAAACAAGAAAGAGATTTAGGAACAGAGGTAGTATACAATATTCATCCTTTGCTTTAATCTAAAATCCATAAAAGAGTTTTTTTATGTGTGTAATTAATCTCTAAAATCTTCAAAAACTAAACAGGTTCCTCCTAAGCTTTAAAAATTACATCGATTGATTCTTGGAAATCTTGAATCAATGGTCATTCTGTACTATGTCTCACATTGCATTAATCACACGTTTATCGATCATTATACATGTTGAAACTTGATGAAGAGGTTGCTCGATTGACAAAAAACTAATGCTCAAGCTTTGAGTCCAGTTACCGACAACTAAAGGTAAAATAATTGTCTAGGGTTTTAAGAGGTTAAAAATATATAAAAGATACTACCTCCGTCACTGAGTATTTGTCCAGTTTTGACTCTTTTCAGTCAACCATTTTCAACCTTTGACCTATAATTAAATGAAATATATATTGTATATTAATTAAATAAAATAATATTTTGAAAATGATTGATATAATAAATCTAATAAAACTATTTTTTATCAATATCTAATACTACCTCTGTCCCGGAAAACATGAGAGTTTTGATTTTGAAGGAGAACTTAAGGGGAGTGTATTTTGGTATTGAATTTCCAAAAATGTCCTTTGATGTGATGGATAAAAGTATGATTTGATGGATAGATTATTAGTAAAAAGGTATGGTGTGATAGGTAGGGTAGGAAAAAGTAAGGGGTAAAAGTGACTTTTTAATAGAAATGAGAAGTGTTTTTTGGGACGGATGAAAAAAGAAAGGAGAAAAGTTTTCTGGGACGGATTGAGTATCATTTTTATGTAATTTGAGGTCAAAGTTTACTAATTTTGATCGAAAAAAGTCAAAAGTGGACAAATACTCAGGGACGGTGGGATTAATATTTAGGAAAAAAATTGCAAAAAAGTACTTCCTCCATTTCAATAAACCCTTCCTCTTTCGTTTTTTCCATTTTCCTAACATACTTCCACTTTCTATAAAAAACTTACTTTTACTTGTACTTTTTCATACCTTAAATATAACATCATACTTTTTCAGTAATAATCCAATTATCATATCAGAGTAAAATTGAAAAGTCAACTATAATGTATTTCTCTTATTTTGGCTAAAAGTCAAAAGGGGAAGTGTTTATCAAAATGGAGATTGTATAATACGAAGTATATGGTTTAGGTGAAGCCATACTTGACTAGACGAGTATGTAATTAATGCACATCCAAATTTAGCACAGAAAAACCATTGACTCAATATTTTTAAATGTTTAAGTAATTTTTGCACATTTTTTAAAAGAATTGGGAGTAAATTGCGCAAAAAAAAAAAAAAAACTCACTTATAAAATAATACGGAATAACACCATTGGAGTGTTTTATTTGGTACGTTTATAATTATTGAAGTCTCTTCGATCTCTTGATTTCTTAATTGCAGTTAGATTGGCTTAATCATCATCTTGACAAATTATGGCCGTATATTGACAAGGTAATCCGGTTCTTTAAATTTCATATTTTCTAAGAAATATTTGCACTAAATAGTACTAAAAACATAAGTCATTTCTCAATGTAAGACTTAATTTTTATTTATTTCTTAAATATCACTTAATGATATCTAGAAGGAGGAATAACGTCCAGTGATAGTGAATATTTACTTGAATAATAACTAATGGATAATGACTAAAAGTGCTACATTGAAAAAAAACATATGATTCTATTTAGTGCTATTTAGGTAAACTCATATGATGTTATTTTTAACCATCACATGTAATGACACTTTCAGAAAGTCAACAGTAAAATACGCTCTTTTTAAATCCTTAAAAAGTCAAAAGCAGAATTCATTTTAGCAATGTATAAGTTCATGATTACCACTGGAAATATGTTTCAAGTTTTATTTCAAATAAATATAAAATGAAACTTCTATTTTCGTATATTTTTAATATTTTACTCATACTTTAGTTTTTCCCTATATAATAGTGAAAACATTACTAAATTATGTCATATGGAGTATTAAATAAAATTACTCCGTGTAAATTAAATAAACAAATTAAAATATATTACCCCTGTTTATGAATAATTGTCCAATTTTGAATTCTTACAGTCAGCAATTTTCATCCTTAGCTTTGAGTTTAAGTTATATACTCCATAGAAATTATATGGTATATTAAATAGATAAAATAATATTTGTAAATATCATACTCCATTTAAAATAAATCTAATAAATTTAGTTTTTATACCAATATCCAATACCCCCTCCTTTAAGTTCATTTTTTCAGTTTGACTTTTTTAAGTCAAACATGATGAATTTTAAGATTCAATTAAACAAAAATCGTAATGTATATTCTTATAAAATGGTTTTCATGGATTTGATTTGTTGAGAACTTTCACAATTTTATTTCATTCTACTAATTAATATGCAATACAATTTGAAAATAATTGAAACTCAAAATTTGACCAATTTGATTCGAAAAAGTTAAACTGAATATATATACTAGGACAAAACTAGTACCAAATTTATTTAATTAGTAGTTAAAATTTGTCAATTGTAATTGGTAAAGATCAAAACTAAACAAATACTAAAAAAGATAGATAATAAATATAGTACATAGTTCATACGCATGAATCCATCTTATGTATTCATGAAAATTCTTTATATAGCATATAGATAAATTCACGTGGGAAAACTAACTTCGCCTAGTTAGCACTTGGACAAACAGATCTAGAATCTTAATATCTCTTGTAATAAACTCAATTCAGTCCACATACGAGTAGTTCTTATCGCTTAACCCACATTGAACAACCAGAAAATCACCGGACCAGCTCCGATACCACTTTAAATTTTGGTGTGCCTAAAATAACGGATAGAATATCAGGTAAAATTAATTACTTGCATATAAAGGATGCATCTACTTTTAAAACAAAAAATTTAAATTGATGAATAGAAGTTCACCCTTCTATTTGTCTCCGGCACTGTCCTCCGTTCGCGAGTTATCCTTCCACACAAATGCATCCCTATTTTTATTTTTATTTTTTTTGTGGTAAAATTGTTTGTGCACTACCTCAAGTGCCATATAATCCCCCAAAGGGAAAACAAAACCCTAATCTTCAAGATCAATTTGAGATTCCATGATTTTGTCCAGGAGTTGCACGATTTTTGTTCTTCACATGATAGTCATTAAAGTATGTCAGACTAAGGGGCTGTTTGACAACTTCTGCATAGGTAAGTGCTGAACCAGTAAGAGGTCTGAACCATTAAGTGCTAAACCAGTAAGAGGTCTGGACCATTAAGAGCTAGTATATTGCTTAACTATTCAGAGGCAAATGTCTGATCAATTTAGATAAGAGGTCTTAACTATTCAGACTCTGTATAATACTTAACCATTCAGAGGCAAATGTCTGAGCCATTCAGACATCTGAACCATTAAGAGGCTGAAACAAACAGTCTGAACCATTAAGTGCTGAACCATTCAGACATCTGAATCATTAAGAGGCTGAAACAAACCGCCCCTAACATTAGTAATGATTTGTCTATATCAATAATTAATTAATCAAGATTTCTTATAACAGGCACATGTTTATATTACATAATTTAGTAAACTTATAAAGCGCTAAGTTATACACCCCCCAACATTTCTGTTCTTCAAATGATAGTTATTAAAGTATGTCACACAATTAGTAATGATTTGCCTATATCAATAATTAATTAATCAAGATTTCTTATAAAAGGTACATTTCTAAATTAAATACTTTAGTAAACTTATAAAGAGCTAAGTTTGTTTTACCCCCACCCTCCGGTGCTCATGAACAACTTGGTGTAAACCAAGTGATATACTAGTGTTGGGGCCGTATGTATGCGATCTTACCCTAACCTCACATTAGTTTCATATTGTTTACTAGGTGAAACCCTCACGAATTTGTTTCTAAGCATCTTTCAAAAGTCTTATATATACTCCCTCTGCCCAGAAATTTTTGGGCAAAATTTTGTAAATTATGACTCAGATTTATGAAAAAATACATTGTATTATGATATAAATTTAATATCAATATATTCCTAATGAGAGGTAGTTTTGAATTATCAAATTTTTAAAATCATCTATGTATATATATATATTAATGGTCAAAGTGAAATATTGAAGAACATTTTCGGACATAGAGAATATATATTAACAAGCCCTTTCTTCCTGCATGGGAGAACACTTGCTACCCAACAAGCGGCACAGTTGTTAATTCTTTTATTACTTGATGATGAAGTGAAGGCGGGATCAGAATTAATTAGAGCAAACGTGGAGCCAACCCTTGAAGAGCACAGGTCCCGCCTAATACAAGATTTGAAGTTTTCAAAGCTCACATTGGGTATCGTCCCTCCACAATTCACTGGTAAGGGTTTATTTTCTTCAACTTATTTGATTCGTCTTGATCTGGTTCAATCAAGTTCTAACTTATTCTGATCTGATTGTGTTTATATTTAAAATTGGAACTAAAATGATTTGATATTATTCTACTAAGGATAAGTAGAAGTAAAAGGAATAAGTTGAAGAAAACAAACTCTAAGTGGACTGCCAATTTATTTTAAAATGTGATCCTTCTGGCAGGCAAGGAAAAAAAGAGGTCACTGCAATGGCATATTTAAGATTTGGGTTTGATGGGAGCCGAGAGGTGAGGGTTCTAGGGCAGCGCTCCACGATTCAAACAAATACCTGAATATAATAGAACTTACCAAAATTAATGCCATCTAGAACATACTCCATAAATACAAAATAAAATCTTATGAAATCAAGATTAACACAATTGAAACCAAACCAGAATTTACGCCTTATTATGCACATGAAACCAAAATTAAACCAAACCACAATCAACTCAAGAAACTAGTTTTGGTATTGAGATCAAATAGCTTGTAACCCTTTTGATAAGTAGGGTAGCCTAGAAGAATACATTTTCTTCGTCTAGGAGCAAATTTATCATGGGTATTATTGGAATTTTGTTTATGAAGTATGTGGTAGCAAGTATGAAATCCCCCCCAATGATAGGTATAAGTATGAAATCTTAAAGCTTTGGCTGTTTTTAAGAGATGCCTATGTTTTTTTTCCACTACCTCATTTTGTTGAAGAATGTAGGTCATGATTTTGTGATGGAGAATTCCCAGGTTTAAGAAAATTTATGGCATTCTGATTTTATGATTTTAGTTCCATTGTCACTTCTCACATATTTTGGTTAGGTGTGATGGTGATTTTCAACATATTAAAAGAAGGTTTGAAGGATGGAACAATCTCGATCCTTATTATGAAACAAATAAGTCCAAGTTACTCTAGCTTTGTAATCAATAATTGTTAAGAAGTGTTTGGCCCTACTTAAGGTAGGTTTCCGGTATGGTCCTTATAAATCCACATGAATCAAATAAAAACGAGATACAGAATCAGTAATATTGTGCTTTAGAAAAGGTAATCTGTGTATTTTTACTATAGAACAAGCATCACAAATAAATTTTTGTTCTACCAAAGGATTACAATCAACAATATGACATAGTTTGGACAAAGATGTATGCCTTAATATCACATGAAGTCTATACAAGGCTTCTTTATTTGACACTTCAAAAATAGAAGAAAAAGAAGAAGGAATTGAAAAATGATTCTATATAGAGGCAAAATGAGGTGAAGTAGCTTGGACAACATGAGAAGAGACTGTAAGAGAGTAAAGACCTTTGTGTCCAGCTCTAGAAGTAGTGATCTGCTTAGTTTTAAGGTCCTGGGATGTAAATGATTTGTGTAATAAATAGGCTAACCAAGTCTTTTTGAATAAGATTTTTCCAATTTAAAGTTTGAGTTTGAAATAAGGAAAATAAAAACATCTTGCAAGACAAAATGTGAATTGATAAAAATCCGGCCCATTTTGTACACTTTTGTAATGGTGCCATTTGGTAAGGTAATAGAAATTGGATTGTTCAAAGTGACAAGATTATGGAAAAGGGTTAGATAAGGAGACATATGATCACACGCTCCTGTATAAAATATCCCAATGACCCTTATTATCATATAAGTGCTCAAGCTACTCAGTACAAAGGGTGAGTCAAGTACCATACCAGAGAAGCTGGTGGAGGCCATATTGGTTTCATGATACTCTCCTTTTCAAATTTTTTCCTTTGCACATCTTCATCACTTTCTGGCATATGACTGAAACAAGGTCTCACTACTGTTAGACAGGACCAGATCAAAGCAAAATAGAATATTTTATTGTTGTGAACTGTACAAGATTTTTTGTGTTCTCTAAATATAAATAAAGAGCAAAACAACACAAATTTTACCAACCAACACAACTATTACAAACCAACAAACCTATTAACATTAAAAACTGCCCATAACTGCTTTTAGAAACTACCTAAGTATTTTTTCTAAATAATTAAATATGTAAAAAACATTAACAGACACCATACTAACTGACCCAAACATTGACTCATTACCCATTTGGTTATATGTGAACAAACTCAATTAAATCTAACAATCATGCCCCTAGTCGTTGTTTGTTCACACCGATCTTCACAACAACGTTGGTTCATCATCATTTTCAATCAAATTTGCAATGTGTTCCTTTTGATGGTTTGGTCATTCATCCAAAAACTGCCCTAGCTCATTGAAGATGAAACACTTAATGTGACTCGTATCCCGCTGAAACCAAACACCATCCTGACCTTTCCCTGACCCCCGACCTCAACCTCGTCCACGTCCAAAGTCTTCTAGGTTTGAGCTCCCGTAACCATAATGCTAACATTTATATTCATTAACCATATCTTTTCCATCACCTTTAGTGAATAGTAGTTTACCCGGCGTATCTCCTTCCTCGGTCAATTTTTTGATGCGTTCCTTGAATGCTTTAAATCTTCCGACTACTTCTTGAAACAACGTTGTGTTAATGTCAGCAAACTATTATGTCAACGATCGGCATGAACTTTTTTGGCATAGAACCTAAAAGATTTCGAACCAAACTTTTGTCTTCAAATGCAGACCCAAGGTTGCTTGCTTGTGTTGCAAGTTGACTAATTTTGCCAGCAAAATCATCAAGTGACTCACAGTTCATATTTAGAGTCTCAAAATATGATTTCGGTGTCTATAATCACACTTTTTTAACCCTGTCAACACAAACGAAGCGAGACTTTAGAGCATCCCAAATTTCTTTTGCTTGATAAACTGAGCAAACTTGTAACACGATCTCTTCCGAAAAAAACTTGAAATATATATGTTATTGCCATATTATTCTTCTTTGGACCAATTTCTGTTCTTGGATTGATCAACTCCAAATTCCCATTAACATAAAAAATTTCTTTTATTGTTATAGCCCAAATAGTGTAGTTTGTAGTAGTTAGAATTAGAACCTTAAAAGATAGTGAACTATTCTCTCATGTATTCACAATCGGTCTGTTGTCTTCCATTGCACGACTTTTGTTCCTTTGACAATTTTCACAAAATTCTTAGCCTTTGATTTCATCCAGGGTTGTAAGACACCTGCAATCCACTAACCAGAAGACGAGCCCCTACTTTTACTTTTTTAAGCCGCTAAATGAAAGCTACACCACTAATTCATTTTTCCCACGCTTTTTGGTTGGAATACTTCTACCTAAGAAAAAACTAGCCACTTGTTGTTCTTATTCTAGGCAAGGAAGAAATCTAGTCGGAGATTCCTGATTTGTTGTCTTGGAAGTTAATAATGCACTATTTTTCAATCTATCCAATCCCTAATGTTGTCAATCACACACAGCTGATTGCAAATCGGACATACTCCTTTCGATCTTTGGGTCGTAATTAGATTGTTGCTCTGACACCAATTGTTAGAAAGGACTAGGTTGAAGCAAAGTAGAATATTTTATCATTGTGAATTGTACAAGATTCTTTCTATTCTCTAAATAAAAATAGAGAACAAGCGAACACAACTTTTATCAACCAACACGACTATTATAAACCAACACACGTATTAACATTGGAAACTACCCATAACTACTATAAAAACTACCCAACTATTTTAATTAAATATGTAAAAGACACTAACCGACACCATACTAATTGAAATCACCATTTGCATTTAATATTTCTAACCATTTACATTGGTTCCTTACTGATGCAAAAGGTCGCAATGCAATTGATGCAAGTACGTTTTTCATCTTTTTTTAACTGATTCAAAAAGTCTTACATGAGTACATCGTTCATGCTCTGGTAGGGCCTTTTGTAATGGTTAAAGTTTTTGTAATAACCGATACAAAAACGCTTCCCACTAAAATTGGGAAAGCCTTTTGAATTGGTTATTACTAAATAACCGATTCAAAAGGTGCTTCCCAAAATTGGCTCTAATTCTAAGGAGAACCTTTTGCATTGATTATTACTAAATAAGCAATGCAAATGTGTTTTTTAATACTCTAGAAGAATTTGGAGCACACAGAACCAGATAAAATAGATCAGTAGACAAAACACAACACAGTAGAAAAAAGAGCAAAGTTTTTAACAAAGTATGCATATTGTTGTACCATAAGATTATAACTAAATAATATATTCATTTCAATGAAACAATCACGCAATTTAGTACATTTTTACAAGATAATATATATATATATATATATATATATATATATATATGTATGTATGTATGTATGTATGTATGTATGTATGTATGTATGTATGTGTGTGTGTGTGTGTATATATATATATATATAGGGGCTCGTTCAAGTGAGAATGCACCTTGGTGAAAGAAATAAGAATAAAATCTGGCCTTTGGATCTGATGCATCGTGCGGCTCAGATTGCATTCTGCACTCAAATTTTGAGATAGTGCATTTTCAAAGGATTATAGTGCATTTTGACATGATGCATTTTCAAACCATCTTGGTGCACCTATTTTTGATGCAATCCTAACCCTTAGATCTCCCAATCTAATGCACCAGATTCATTCTTATTTCTTTCATTAGATTGCATTCTCACCTGAACCAATATATATATATATATATATATATATATATATATATATATATATATATATGAAACTTAAACTAAATCTTCAAGAAAACCACCAGCCTAAAACTCTCGAATCTCACCTAGCTGGCATCCGTGTATTGCACAGTAGATTGGAACACCTACAACAAGAAAGAAGAAGATGATAACTTCAAAATAATCATAAAGAAAAAGACAAAGAGTTATAATTTATATCATAAAACAAACATCTTAGTTACAAGAACACGCTGAAACAAACTTACATCGGATGACAGTATGGAAGACTGAGCACATAAAGTGACGATGAGCCATATAAATCGCAAAGTATAATATCCACACTCGGTCCCCCCAGTTGTTGTGGTACTTTGGGAAGATCAACCCACTCCTGTCTAGCCTTAATCTGAGGCATTTCCTTTTCCCTAAGTAACCGCCAAGACCTTAAAACTTTAAAAAAAAAATCATTAGGAAAATATTCCGGGACAAATAAAGACTTTATTCAATATTATGGATATATATCATCTTAATACTTACTCGTTTACGAAAGTATTCACTTTCATTTTCTCATGTCATACGATCGCGAAATTTTAGTTAAAGAAATACACCTTCTTTTCAAACAAGCATATTACAACCAACATCCAATGATGCCTACAATTCAAAAGGAGTATTAGTAATTAGTTTCGTAGTCAATAATATATATATATATATATATATATATATATATATATATAAAACTTGAGTACTTATCTAAAATGATTTAGACAACATACAAGCTCAAAAGATACAATGGCATAAGTATCCAGGTTCACAATTTATATGCATTGAAGGGTTTATCTAGATAGCTGCAATGTCCATAATGTATCATGCACTGCACACTCTCCTGCCATAATAGCCCGATAGTTGTGATGTCGTGCTCCATCCTGTATCCAGGCAACAATCTTGATCTTCGACAAGTAAATAGTAATTACATTTATAGTAATTAATCAGAACACATAAGTTAGAATTTGTTTTTGATTTTGATCGTATGTAGTTTTTTTCATATCTCAAGTAAACAATGACGATGGTCTGATTGACCTCCTCCCATCGCTTGAACTCTTGTATATTCTTAGGTCGCACCCGCATCTCTGTCTCCTCTTTATGGAGCATGCACTCATGATCGAGAATAATACTAATGCTAGACTGAGCAAATTTGTTTTTCAAACACTGACACAACTCTTTACACCTCGGTCCAAAATGAGTGTATAAACTCTGGTCAATAATGTCATATACATGAGAGCTCAGAGAGGAGTGGGGTGAACGCCAGTAATAGGACGATATTTGCTCAAAGTGAAATCACCCTAGCGGGGTGCGTAGATTGAGGGCTACATATTCAAAAACAAATGCATGTGAAACAACACCAAAAGGTATTTCATCTGTTATTAGAAATAACCCATTCAAATACTATGCAGTATGGGAAAATTAAATCCTTTTTAATCAATTTTTTATGTAACCAATGCAAATGGGGGAATCCATTTGCTTGTTTTTAACTATTGTCTTGATCAACTTGCAACTCGTGATTCTGATTTCCATTGAGTTTAAAGGGAGATTAGAGAGATGAGTCCTCCATCCACTCACTGGAATTGACAAGAGCTGCCAATTTTGACCTTCCAAATTTCCTATCCCTCTTTCCTTTGTACCAATTAGGGTAGTCTATCCTTTGAAAGCATTGCTCATATTGGTGTCACTCACTTTAACATAATTAGCAATATTTTCTTTCACCTAGCTTGCACCATTTTTCCTTCCTCCTCTCTTTGTGTAGTGGCATTCAACCATCTTCATCATTGGCAAAGAAAGCACTTGATTTTGGAACATTAAGAATCATTTCCCTTTTTGTTTCAATTTGTGTAAAATGCTCTGCTTAGTGCATGCAAAGGTTCTGTGGCTAGCATGTGTCCACAAACTCCCTCATAATCATCACTAAGATTCATTGAGAATTGCATCAATTTATTTCTGTTTTCAATTGTGCAGTAAACTTTTCTATGTACTCATCACGTTATTCTTTAACTTCGCCACACTCACATAAAGGAAAGTCATTGAGTTCTTTCAAAGTCTCCTAATATTTCTTATGTTTTGTGAAGTAGGCAAAAACATTGTTCTTCAGCTGAATTGACATAAAGGAAAGAGTGTAACATTTCTAGAACCATAAAATTGGGAATCCAATAGGTCACCGTATAATCCATTTGAATCCAGCGCTGATAATATGTGTTTGTAGCTCTAGGTTTAGCACATGTTCTATTTATAAAACCAATCTTGAATTTTACCCCCAACGCCATGGTAATTGTCTTCTTCCAAGCGAAGAAATTGGATCCTATGAATTTGGATGTAGTTAGGGCTAAACCGGGACGATCTTGCCCAGTGAGCCCATATGGATCGAGAAGTGTGCTTCGACGTTCTTTGTTGTTCAATTCTGCCATTGATAACGACGGAAGCTTAATCGTAGTAGGATAGTAAGGCTTCAGATGATCGAACAATCAATCAGTGAAGATCTTCTAGTGTTGAAGCTCCGTTACCATGTTAAATCCAAAAGAAGATTAAGAACGAAAAGAAACCGAAGTGTTTATTGATCCAAAAGTGATTTGCATCTTAAAGAGGAAAGGTATATAAAAGAAGGAGAAAATAGGGACAACTGTTAAGAACTAACTACTAACAAACTAAATAGAAATGAAATAACCAAATGTCAATAGATATCTCTACAGTCTACAATTTCAAACATGAACTTCTGGTTGAGTCGGTTCTTTGACCTTTCCAAAAAATATTATTACTCTTAGGTCTCCATTAAACAATAAAGTAGAGGGAGAAGTTAGTTAATAATATGGGACACCAATGTAGTAATTTTTTTAAAATAAAAAGCCTCATTTAAACATTAAATTGTATGCAATTATATCAAATGTTTTAGGAAACAAGTTCTAGCATAATGATCACTATGACAGATAAAACATGACAAATGAGTATATATACTCCCTCCATGCAAATCAACTTTAGAGTTTGTCTTAATGGATTGGAGTTCTATACAAAAAAATTGTTTAAAAATTAAAAACATGTGATTGGAATTTTTATTAGAGAGTGAAAGATTATAAGGCACATATTTCATTAATTAAAAGAAAATGTGCGTGTAATATAAAGTTTGTTTTTGGACAACCAAAAATATTAAAACTTTGAAGTTTTTTTTGGGACGAAGTGAGTATATCACTACAAACAAAAGGTCTTTTTTGTCAATGCCATTTGCCACAAAAATGTTTCTTGACAAGGTTAATTTCTTTTTGTGGCATGATAATGTGGCTCTTAAATTTTAGTTAATTGTATTTGAGACGAATCTTTTTTTATCGGGTTAGGGGTTTCAATTATTGAAGGTGATCCTCAAGAAATTACAATGGAGCTGGAGGTTCAGTGGGATGGAAACCCGTGCATCGTCCTTGATATTACTACTACACTTGGTGTATCAATACCCATTGAAGTACGTACATACATATATACTTCTCATCTCATTTTTTTAAAGGAGAATTAATTATCTAAATATGACTAAAACATAATAACTTTCTCAATATAGGACCATGTGTTTTTATTTCCTAATGTAAGAACATTGGTCATTATCCATTAGTCATTATTCAAGTAAATATCCACCATCACTAGACATTATTCCACCCACTAGACATTATTAAGTCCTGTTTAGGAAATAAAAAAGTGTAAGTTCTACATTGAGAAATGACTTATGTTTTAGTCCTATTTAAGACTAAAACATAATGGCTTTCTCAATATAGGACCATATTTTTTGATTTATAATAATTAGATAGTTTTGATTTATACCTGAACTTGCAGGTTAAAGACATTGCATTTACGGGTTTATTCAGGATAATATTCAAACCGCTAGTTGACGAGTTTCCATGTTTTGGAGCTATTAGTTACTCCTTACGTAAAAAAGTAAGTAATGTGTTGCATGCATAATTAAATAATAATATGGTCGGTCATTGATCACACTTTGTTATGAGTTTTTGAAATCACGTATGACTCAATCGTATTATGTGCGTGTCATTCATTTCTTACATATATACAGGAAAAGCTTAATTTTCGACTCAAAGTTTGTGGCAATATCTCAACTGTTCCTGGGGTGCTCGACGGTCTTAAGGTTTGCATTTAATTATTACCATACGTCTCTTAAGGCTAGGGGCCTGTTTAGTAGGCTAGGCTAGGGTGATATTTACATCAACTTAATTACCAAATAAAACTACACTAGCTTAAAATGACAAAAACAAAATGGAGTACTTAGATAAATACTTCGTGTGTGTGTGTGTGTATAGTATAATTTGACATCAACATTATGTCTAGTGACGTATTCTGATATTGGTTAAGTAGATAACATAAAAATAATGACTATGACTGTGGGCTAGGATTCCGACAAAAGACCAAATTTGTAGAATATGGTTGTAGTAGAAAGCGACTGTAATTCACAAATGACGCAAACGGAATAGCCTTTGGAATTGTGTATGACAAAAAAGATATATTATCATTGTGAAATTACATTTTTAGCTCTCAATTTAACACAAACATGATAGAAGATAAAAAAGGACTATTTGTGGAAAGATACTCATAAAAGAAGGACCATTGGGTAATATTTGATAATAGAGGACTAAATAAGGAAACCCCTCTCTTATAAAGGACCATTTATGGAATTTACTATATATATATATATATATATATATATATATATATATATATATATATATATATATATATATATATATAATTTTACTTTACTTTGATTTAGATTTTAATTTGACACTATTAGAGTACCATACTGAATTCAATTGAAGATTCCATCACATGGCCAGTGCGAGAAATCATTTCCATATTACCAGGAGATTATAGGTACGTACTTACAGTAACTTATAGTACTTGCATTAATAAATTATCATCAGTAGTAATTACTTTTTGGTAATCTAGAAACAATATTGTAAAAAGAGATTATAAAGAAAATTTAAGGAATGCACAAGAAAAATAAATTATGGGACAAAAAAACTCATTCTCATCCATATTATAATTTAGTTGATTGGAACTGGTACATACTAATGTAGTAGCTAGTGTTTATATATATATATATATATATGACTGCATCTTTATAGTGATTTGGAGTTAAAGCCAGTTGGGATGTTAGAAGTGAAGCTCATACAAGGTAAAGAACTCACAAATAAGGACTTGATTGGAAAATCTGACCCGTTTGCTGAAGTATTCATTCGACCACGACGAGAGAGAATCAAGACTAGCAAAGTTATAGTAAGAAAATCAAGATTCATTCATTCATTCAAACGCTTCTTTTGTTTCCTTGCCTGTTTTTATCCACCAAGCAAACTTATCCCACTTTCTTTTTATATATTGGGCTTTTTGTCTTTATTTGTCAAGAACAACTCCCTAAACCCGGTTTGGAATGAGAGCTTTGAGTTTGAAGTTGAAGATGCATCCACTCAACACTTGACTGTAATGGTTTATGATGATGAGGGTATTCAAGCTTCTGAATTCATAGGATGTGCTCAAGTACATTTGAAAGACCTCCAGCCTGGAAAAGTGAAGAGTTTGTGGTTGAAACTTGTGAAAGATTTACAACTTCAAAGGGACAACAAAAATAGAGGCCAGGTGAGAGAGGATTGAATTGAAGTTCATTCCACTTATTTTCGTTTCTTTAACGAAAACAAACTTGTTAGCTAGTAGCAGAGATCGGTTAGTTAGTTGTTGGCGGGCTAGTATTATCTGAATAAATAATAATAATAATAATAATAGTATGTTTGGCAACATGAATTATTGCAGATTCACTTGGAGCTGTTATACTGTCCCTATGGAACACAAAGCATCTTTATGGAATGTTTCAACCCCGATGACTTTTCGCTGACGGACTTGGAAAAGGCCATTAAGCCAGAAACAACCATACAAAACACAATTGGTGGTAGTCTCCTCTTCAGAGGAGTTCTCTTTGTGACTGTAATATGCGCCAAGGACTTACCAGCAACGGGCTTATTCCGAAGCTGTGACCCGTACGTACTAATAATATTGAAAAAATCTGAACTCAAGGAGAAAACTAGAGTAAGTTTTTGTGATATTAATTAAACTCTTGTAATGTGGGATATATTCTACTCGGATGATGTTGTTGTTGTTAAGGATTAGAGGGGCAATAATGCATATTTCAGGTTGCTGCCAAGACACTAAATCCAGTATGGGACCAAACATTTGAGTTTGTCATTGAGGATGGATTGCATGATCTGTTAATATTTGAAGTTTGGGAGCACCATGTATGCCGAAATGTAAGCACTAGCTACAAAAGTCCTTGAAAATAAATCAAACAAGCTAAGGAAAAGGTTGAATAATACTAAATGATTGTTCACTTAACTTTATTCAGTTATTGTTACGAAACCTTTTGTGAGGTGTCCCAAGATTGATTCCTATAGGCTTAACCAAAACAATATCATTTAAATGTGGAGTCAACATATTAATTTTTCATCAGTTAAGATCCTTATTATACTATAGTATTTGATTGATTAAATAAATAAATATTTCAGGATAGAATTGGGCGATGCATAATGACACTCACCAGAGTTATACTTGAGGGCGAAATCAGAGATTGGTTTGAGATAGATGGAGCAACGACTGGGACGCTACACTTGAACATCAAATGGACACCTCAACCAATAATCCCATGACTGCTTCATTATCTATGGATTTAAATACTTACTATTTTGTGTTAAATATGTTAGACTTTATCCTCTGGCGAGCATATAAATAGAGTGAAGTTTATTGAACATGTGGGTGGATAATTCAGAGAGAGGTTGGTTGTGCTATATATTAGACTTTTCCTAATTTTAAGATTTCTAATTGATGAGATTTAGCCCAACAACTATGGCGTATGAAGAACAAAACAAACAATATTGATAATACTTGGTCTTGTATATCTCTTGTATTAGCTACTTTCAACTTGGTTTACAATGGAGGGTAAGTCTCATATTTATGGCTTAAATCTACCATGTACAAGGTAAGTGGTGTCGTGCGCTACATTATTGGCCATTTTGCTAATCATGCGTCAAACATGGTGGAGAATCAGTTATTGATTCCCGTCAATCCCACGATTCGGGGAACACTACGGCTTGCTCCGGCGATGGGAAACTCTGTGGACAACACTACTTTGTTCTCTATACTCACAACTCTCTAAAGGAGGAAGAATGGTGAAGAATGGTTTGGGGAGTTTATATAGTGAAAGGGAGAGGAAGAATACACAGGAGTTGACTTGGTTATTCATGTTCTTCATTCGGCGATGTGCGTTAGTGGAGGGGGCGACAGTTTCTTCCGATCTCAAACACAAGTTCCTTGATTGGGACTAATTTCAGTCCTGGTCGGGGTAGACTTTTTGGTCCAACTTTTCTCTGAATTAAAATTCGATTGTACCTTTGTGACCAGACAATAAAACTCTACACAATGATATAATTTTCATTATTCATTGACAATCTTTATTAATCACTTATTTTTGGGTCTTTCTCAGTAATTTATTAGTTATTAATTATTAATTCTAATAGGCCTATTTTTGGGGCATTACAAAAAGTGATAAGCAATATTTTGCAACACAGTATCACCCCCAAGTTATACATATAAAGCTCTGGGAACAATTCCTACAACGACACATCTCATTTGCATAACTCTTATCCTTTTTTCACTATTATCTTAATTTAACACAAGGTATGAGGTATGTCATATTTTTAGAGATAAATCGATGGTTAACTAATTCTTTGATTGACTAGTGAGATTCAAATAACATATTTATTTGGGCATGGGCATGCACTTCCAAAGTCACATCAATCAGCATGCCCTAAGCTATTATACTTCACTAAGGAAGGGATAAATTCTATCTACGTCATTCACATCTGCACTTAAGTTTCATTACATACCCAAACTATAGTCGTACCTCCACCAATATTTCAGATGGCATCAACTACGCATCAAAGTGTACAACTGAACTTATCAAAGATCGTAATGACTTCAAGTCAAAATATAGTTATACTAATGGTTGCATGATAAGAATACTAACACATTAACATAATACCCATATATTATTCTCATTGCGGGTCAATCTAGCAACATATCCAATATATTTGCCTACGCATAGATTCAGATAACACTTTATCTATAAGATATGAGACGTGGCTATTCTCATCTCATATGTTTTAGTCTTGATACATTATGACGTCTTTCTAATCATAATATTTGACTAAAGATATTTTAGACGTAGTCTCTATCTTTGCAACAACCTCGTAATCACAACGTTGTAGTTTTCATGTGTGTTGGTAGACCGCCTACTCTATGGGCTAAAGCTATGTTTAAATCACAAGAGACAATTTAAACAATCTTTAGGGCCTATTATTGTTTATATAATTTAGACACAGAATCATAAGTTGGCCTCTAAGGCTCACTTATATTGAATAAGTTGAGGGAATAGTAATGTTCTTGGCTTTGTCACCTTTAAGACTTCAGATGGAATCCTCAATCCTAAGATGACTATTGAGTTGCACCAAAGTCATGTCCGCCTTGCCATGTTTCAAGGTGCGCCCACTATTGACTTTTCTATGATGCTTGACACCAAGATGGACTCATCTCGATGCATGCTATGTTGAACATATTGTCCTAGGATCCTCAACAGTTCATTGTATTGTTCTATGACCGGTCGTAAGTTGACCATCTTATAATTATTAAAATTACTAACAAGGAACTTCTTGCTAGTAGCATCCTCAGTCACATATTTTTTTTCAAGACCATCTCATAGCAATTTTGCAGATTCAAGATTTTGGTAAATATCAAAGAGAAAATCGAACATACCATTAAGAATATGACCAAGACAAATGTAGTCATCGTTCTCCCATTTGTATTGTCTTCAAGTTTGTTCCAAGGTTTCTTCTTCCATGATATCAGGCATTGGTGTACCCAAGACGTATACAACCTTCAACGTGGTGAGAAGGAAGTGCATCTTCTTCTACCAAAGATGGAAGTCCTAACCTTCAAACTTTTCCAGTTTTGAGAACTTACTCGTAAGATCTCCCATAGATTCGCCATCGTCATCTTTGCATTGTTTTAGGGAAATATGTCTTTAGTCTTTGTTGGGGGATTGATATAGGATTGTGCAAGAAAAGAGGTAACCCCGCCGTCCCTGAGTGTTTGTCCACTTTTGACTTTTTTGGTTAAAATTGATAAACTTTGACCTCAAATTAAATAAAAAAGATATTAGGTATTTATAGTAAAATAGTTTTATTAGATTTATTATATGAAATATTTTCAAAATATTATTTTATCTAATTAATATACAATATATATTTTATTTAATAAGAGGTCAAAGATTAAAAACAATTGACTGTCAAAAGTCAAAACTGAACAAATACTCAGAGACGGAGGTAGTAGTGATAGGATTACGAATCATGAAAGAACCACTTTTAGACTAAATTTATTTCAGACAAACTAAAGTACATTAATAAGATAAGACGTAAACGTTACAAAACGAGGATGAAAGCTTTCAAGTAGAAGACTATAGTCATTTGGACTTATTCTTGGTTGTTCTACTGATATAGGCCATAGGCATAGCTATTTATAGATAAAACATTGATTGGACATGTCTTTTAAAGTGAAAAATAGTGTCTATTTAGTACTTATTGGAATAGAACCCTTCCTATTCGAACATATTCTAGGAGACCATTTCTGAAGGATCAAACACATCTCTTCAATGACCTATTTGAATGAGCAAAGACCCATTTGAATAAGCCAGCATATATGACCTATTGTAATATGCAAATACCTATTCGAAAAGATCAACATGGAGAAGACCTATTCGAATATGTCAACATATAAGGTCCTAACTTATTCGTATAGGTTACAACCTATTTGAATAGGTCCTCACAGTTCACGGTGACCTTTTTGAATAGACAAAAACCTATTTGAATATGTCAACCATTTTATTCTAAATAATAATATAATTAAATGAGCGTGTACTCCACACCTCCTAATTCGTTTCAATATTTATTATTATTTAATATCCGATCAATAGGTAAATCTATTTACTCAAAATAGCCCGATAACACTAACATCCCACGGAAAGAAGTTTAAAATAGAGGAAATATTAAGGCTAATTTTTCAAAGCATATGGTTTCGCAGCTATTTGGCCTATTGAGTATTTCATCCGTTCGGAAATATTCTTCCCATTTTCTTTTTTAGTCTATTTTTTAAGAATATATTTCAACATTATCCTTAAATTTTACCACTAATATACTTTTTTATTGATTTTTTAATAAGAAAAGAAACTCTAAAAGTTTTGAGTACGTGCATTTTTGTTAGGGCTGTCAACGGATAGCCGAAAATCTGATTACCGTCCGCGTCCGTATCCGTTTAAGAGGAAATATTCGCATCCGTTTTAAATAGATATTATCCATATCCGATTAAGGATATCCGATTACTAAATGGATACAGATTTGGTAAATGTAGTCTTTTTTGTCTCAATCCCTCAACAGCGCTTATTCCGCATCTCTGAGAACAAGCCCTTTTTCAAAACCTATTCTTACCAAGACATTCCGACTACACCGCTTCCCCTCAAAGACTGGAAAAAGAAAAGAAGAACAGAGATTTGTTTCACTATGTGAAACTCATTTCGTTTCAAATGAGTTCGTAGATTCGTTTAAAATCCGATCCAAATATGCACCCGTTTAAAAAACCGTTTATCTGAATATCCGATCCGTTATATATAGTTTTTCCTAATTTTTTATGTTTATATTTTGTTTCTCTATTGATACTTCAAAGTATAAGACATTTTTATATACAAAATAAATGTGTAGACACAAAAATATGTGTATATGTGTGCTGTGTATATCTTTTTATCATATGAAGTTATCATAAAATATCATAAATAGTGAAAACGAAGAATATAATTATCCCATAAAAAATTATAGTTGATTTAATAATAGTTTGACTTTAAACCCACACTATCCACATAAAAAAGGCCCTCAAACCCCAGCTTCAACCGCAACTCTTCTGCCTTACTCCTCGCACATTTCGTTTCCATAAGAAAAATAAACTCGGGCTTTTTGACGGCTGCAAGCTCCGCCACTTCTTGAACTGTCCGTCGGTTGCCCAACCCACGGCAGTTCCAACTGATAAGACTCATTGCTTCTGGCGGGCCTGGAAACCAGAGCCCGCCCCACACAAGTTTTTTGAGCTATCGAAAGACATACTATCATTTACAGAAAAGCTGGCTTCCAAATCATTACCTCTTTTGCGTTTAGTCACCAAGGCAAATGCTAAGTCTTCATCCTGCTTGGATATCGTGCATCAACGAGCCGTCTCACTTCAATCGGTTCTACGTGTCTAATCCATGGCTCACCAATAGTTAACAGTGGCTTCCTACCTCCTGCCTTAAGTGACTCATCATATGGATAATTCTCTGGCTCCAAGGAAGAAAGGAGCGCCATCCGACAGTGCTTCGACAGATGACCAAGGATACCACAATAATAACAAAATACAGTAATCCTCTCATATTTGAAAAGGACCCACACTATAGAGCCATCTCTCTTGGTTAACTTCATCCTTCGCTTCAACGGTTTATGAACGTCAATAGCCACACGCACTCGAAAGAATCCTTGGTATGCTTTTGAAACATTAGCAACATCAATCCTACGAAATTGGCCCAAAAACTTACCCACCGCCTCAAGGACTGCCGGAGACGTATACCCAGGAGGAAGATCATGCACCTGAACCCATAGCTCCAGCAAATAAAGATCTGCCGCCTTAATCGTCTCCCTAGGTTCCACAAGTCGGCAAAGCAGCATATTGTTCTCAAATGACCATGGCCCCTCCTCAATGATGCGTTTTGCATCCTTCTCATGGTAGAAGTAAAACCAAAATAATCCTTCCTCACCCTGCCTGAATCGCACCCCCATAGCAGGCCTCCAAACCGAAGCAAGAACTTGTTGCATGATGTCAAATTTGATTGGTTTATTAGTGAGAAAACGCCCTACCACTGTCCATGTGCGGAAATCGTCCACCGGAATTTGTAGACCACCTTCTAGGGCAAAAGAGAGACCTTCCTCTTCCTCCGATATTGCCAAATTGGTAATCGCAGCATCCAGACTATGCACACTCTGATCCTCCATGTCTGATGACGAATTCGAATTGCGAGAACAAGTATTTGGATGAGAATCGAAAATTAGATCCGGAAAAACACTCCAACCGTCGGGGAGAGAAAAACCCTAATCATAGGGAGAGAAAACGACTTTAATCTAATTTAAAATTAAAGTATTGTTTAATTTGATTTTAAAAATTGAAAACGGATACGGATATATCCGATATCCGACCAATATCCGACGGATGCGGATACGATTTTGATTTTCAGTCCGAATTCGATATTCGACAAAAATAAACGGATACGGATATGGTAATGACACACACGATCCGATTAATATCCGTTTGCAGCCCTAATTTTTGTAAATTTGGCACTTTTTTTTAAGTATTCTTTAATAAGCTTGAAGTCAACCGGTGAAGCCGGAGGGAGGGAGTAATACGGAGTCACCTAAGTGGAAGAGAAGAAACTGATTCCTTTGATCCCATTCCAATTGCTATGACTAGGCCGATTGTTCTCGCGCTGATCTTTCTGCTTCAGCTCTCCATATGCTCCATCGCCGTCGCTTCCAGGTTTGCTTTCTCTTCAACCCTAAGTTTTGTTAAATTATTTTGATTTCTATTCAACGCTTCTCAGCTTCCTCTATTTGTGAGATGGTTAAGTGCTGATCTTTAGTTTCCTGAATGTGTAAAGTTAAGATCTAAAGAATTCATCACGGAGTGTTTCTCTTTGGTTATCATCACCATCCTCCAGCCATGTGTTGATTCGATGTATTGTTTTGGGCAGGACTAGTGATGCGTATTCTATAAACGGACGTGTGAAAATACCAGGTTCAAATGTAATTCTTGTTGATATTCTGCCACTCATTTTATTGAACCATTAACAATGCTTTGTTGATAAACCTTCGAGATTCGTTCATTCCTTTATAATTATATGGCATATTATACAATTATCTGGATCTTATGTCTAATGAATTTTTATGGGCAAATCGTGCATTTAGTATGCTTTACTCTTCAAACGTGGGAGCTTTAATAATAGCAATGATGCGTCCTTATGTAATTTATAATGGATTTGTGAGGTATACTTTCTTAAGCATAAATTTGACATTGTGACATCTTGTCATGGAGATTGGAGAAGATGTTTCTTTGCGTTTTTTGAAGTTGAAGAGGGTTGTATTCTGTTGAGTTCTTTACTTAACTCTCATTTATTGTATTAAGTTGGAAATGATGCTAATTTGTTGAGAGAACATTTTACTCATTTTCCTATTAAATATATTTTTGGTTGGGTTAAAATACTACGGAGTTTGTAGTACTGATATGGTATGTGTGAGTGTGTGTCCCTCTATTGGTCTAGAGGTGGTTCTTTGTGCGCCCTATGCAAAGTCTTTTCCTTTCTATTTGAGGAACTACTCCGAGGTTTCTCTCTTTTTCTATGCTAGAAAAAGTGTTTTCTTTTGGTTCACAAATAACTCCCTCCATTCCAAAATAGCTGCACACTTTCCTTTTTCGTCACTCCAAATTAAACATCACGCTTCTCCTTGTCCTTCTAAAGAAATGAACTCACATCATTTCCACTCTCTAAACCAATGCCTACCGCACACTTTACTTTTCAACATTTTTTTCACACTTCGTGAACTTAAATGGGATGAAGGGGGTATAGAAATACTGAACGGAATAAAACAGTGAATAGCATTGAGAATCACCTCGATTTAGCTCATGGTACTAGATTGCTTATTTTTCCATTTTGGATTTCAAGCTATGCTCTCTCTCTCTCTACGATGATAAAGTTCATCAGTAGTAGTATCCTTCTGCTTCAGTAAAAAAAAGAAGTACAACCATGAGTGAAATTTAATTTCTCTCTATTGGCTGAATGTTATCTCTTGAGAATATAATGAATAAGAAATGAAAATATTCCTAAGCATAGTAGCAGGGTTTTAAAAGGTCTTCGAGGTGGTGAGCCAGTCTCTTTAAGCCTCAGTAGTAGTATACGAGGCATATGCCCCACAATGCCGAGGCACCACGAGGTGGTTCAAGGCAGTCTTTCAACTATTAATTTCCCTGTTTCTTTTTTCCAGCATCACACTCCCTATTCATCTTTGATTTTTATTTAATTTATTTGCAGTTTGCTTAACATAAAATTTCATCTATATTTTTTAGTTGGAATCTAGTTGTATTAGTCTAATTTTGGTTATCAAATACGGAGTAACTTAAAATCCAGTTATTCTCCTGTTTTATCCTATTTTAGAATCTGTATTAGCTGAAATTTCTCCAGTCTTTAAATCCTATGTTAGCTAAAAAATTTCCCGTATTTAAATTCACGTCAAAGAATGATATAACTATTTTTGCGTGAAGTTTTATCCATATTTAAAAGCGGTTGTATACGTGAAAGCCATTATTGTAATAAAATTATCAAAGCGGTGTGAGTAGGTTAACATACCATTTTGCTGGAACTCATAAAAATTATCATTGTATGATTTTATGACTTACGTATGATTATGGATTATGCATTTTGTTGATTGTATGATTATGATCATGACTTACGTATGACTGTATGATTATGGATTATGCATTTTGTTTTACCTCAGAGAATCTATTTTAGTAATTTTTTTCAAACTGAATTGAGTCGTACGCCTCGTTCCCAAGGTTGTTAAGCTGCCAAGGCGAGGCAAGGCGCCGACGTACCTTCATATTGCATAGGTGACCTATATATGTACGCGCACACGCACACACACGCACACATATATATGTATGTATCTCTCTATACACACACGCACGCATCATATAACCACGAATAGATATATGGCACAAAATATGAAATTAAAGTCTACACATAATTTGAGACAATTAATTAGGCATTCACAAGCATTTAGAAGACCTCAAATAACAACATCATACAAATAAAAGTTCATCTCCATCCTAGTAGTTTAATCACACAAACATGCAAGTTTAAAAATTATCCTTGAAGATGTCATTCATATGGATATCAATATATAAATCCATAGACTCATCATGGACACTAAATAAGTCAACACCATAGTCATCTTCAAGATACTCATCATCATCATTTAGGCCCAACTGCCCAACAGATAAAGCGATGATAAGTCAAAACATTTTAAAATTTCTCTTTCAAAAATTAAAAGCTACCCAGGATTGGGTGCTTAGGCCTGAGGTGAGGGTAAGGCGACAAAGGCAACACCTAGGCAAGCGCTAATGCCTCGAAGGTTTAAATATAAAATTTAAGTCTACACATAATTTGATACAACTAATTAAGCATTCACAAGCATTTAGAAGACCTCAAATAACAACATCATTCAAATAAAAGTTCATCTCCATCCTAGTAGTTTAATCACACAAACATGCAAGTTTAAAAATTATCCTGGAAGATGTCATTCTTATGGATATCAATATATATATCCATAGACTCATCACGGACACTAAATAAGTCAACACCATAGTCATCTTCAAGATACTCATCATCATTTAGGCCATACTGCCCAACAGATAAGGAGATGTTAAGTCAAAACATTTTCAAATTTCTCTTTCAAAATTTAAAAGCTACCCAGGATTGGGTGCTTAGGCCTGAGGCGAGGGTAAGGCAACAAAGGCAACACCTAGGCAAGCGCCTTAATGTCTCGAAGGTTTATGGGCGAGGCAGACAGATAAGGCGGCCATGACATAGTGCCTTATCGCCTAGGCGACGCCTTAACAACTATGCTCGTTCCGCCTTGAGGCATAAGCACCAAGGCATTTTGTTCCAACTACTCGATGATAGTTTTTGCCTTTCAAAACTTTGGATAACAGTAACCAAAATATCTTGGCTGGGTAAAGATGAAGTGTAGTAAAAATGAAATTAGAGTTAGCATAGTATCTTGATTAGTAAAAATGAATGAAGTGTAGTAACATATACCTTCAAGGGCTGTGATGTTTCATTTCTTCCCTATTATGTGATTGATGACATTCATGTAAATCCTTTATGTTGTATGCCAATTGCCGATGGAGCCAAAAGTGTCGTACTTGTCAATGTTTTAGCTTCGGGTATATAATGGACTAAATCAAAATGCCACATTAAACTTCCTTTGCTTCTTACTTTCAATGAACTTTTGGCTAGTAAATGCACCAAGGGTTTAATGGAAATAGTCTCTTAGTATTTTACATGGACAAGGCTGTATACATCTTGGCTCCCCACGCCCCAACAAATTTGGATTATATTTGGTTCTTGTATTAATTTAAATCCTTCATATCCTTTTTATTTCTAATTCTACTAGACAATCATCCTCTTAGTTTAGAACCTTGGATCAAGTACAAGTAAGATGCGGAGTTTCCTGATGAGCATTAATCATTTGAGAGAATTCAACCCATTAATTTCTAAGCATTAATATTGCTACCAATCTACCATGTTTCGGAAACAACCTCCTTACTTTTTCTAGGTAAGGGTAAGGTTTGTGTACACCCACTACCACCACCCCCAGGCTCCACTCTCAATATTTTACTGGGTTTATGGTTGTTATATTGCTAGCATGTGATCTTATCAGACAATATTGGATAACTTGGGCCACATGGCAAACTCCTAGTTTTTTGAGCCTTCTAAGTTCCAAATTATTTCGATTTGCATTCAACACCTTTTCATTTTCACTCAAAAGTGATGCTATAAATTTTCTTGTTATTGACTTGCCCCAGATTTGTACCATGCTCTTTTAGCTATGTCTAACAGAAAACATTCCTTGCTCTGTTATGATGTGGATAGGCTTTAACTTGAAAGGATCTGGTCTGCTGGCTAAAGCATCAGATGTTAAGGTGGTACTTAATGGTGGCAAAAGAGTTACTTTTCTGAGACCCGATGGATACTTTTCATTGTATCCTTTAACTTACATTTCAATGTGTTAAGTTTATCATCTGACATCTGATTTTGCATTCTACCGATCTTGCTTCTATCATTTTTTATTGCTTTTATCATTCATTCATTCCCGAGGGAAAAAACAATCAGATCCCCATTATTTGGCATTGGTGATATTCCTTGGCATGCCTTTCCAATGAAACAAAACTGGTTCCCAGTCTTGATGTTTTGAGCTGCACAAAAAAAAACTTTTTGTGCTGGCTAATTATTTGTATACGTTGTGTGCCATTGTTTATTTTATGATAATAGGTGTGAAGTATTGTGTTCAGTTGCAGTTATGCGATAGTGTGTTCAGTGCCTTAATAGCGAGTACTTATGTGGGAAAGTCTACAATCATTTAATTTTAATCGAGTTTCATACTTTTTCTTTTCTTTTGGTTCAAAAGAAGGGAAGATTAGGAGGAAAAATGGAGATATGGGAAGATAGGGAAATGGAAGGCATTAAATTTTTTTTATGTTTGGTTCAATAGAGAGAGAATTACTCCCAGCATCCCACTATTTTTGGGACAAGGAAAAATGGAATTGTGTATTTGATATTGAAGTTGAAGTGTTTTATCACTTTATGTGCTTGAGTCACATCCCCTCAACATAGTTTAGGTAAGGGTAAGGTCTATGTACACACACTCTAGACTCCACTTTGTTTAATTTAACTGGGCATGCTATTGGTTGTTTTGAGTGCTATTGACTCTATTACAATGTGGTATATCTCCACACTTTTCTCAACCTAACGGCACATAGTGAGCCAATGCCTCCATTGGGAATCAAACGTGGGTGAGTATACAAGATCTTGGGGAGTGCTCTTGTTGCCACTCAAGCCAAGGGAAAAGCTTGAGCATGTTGTTGATAATAAATTTGAAAAGTAAGAAAAACGTTTCTGAATACGGTTTAAAACAAAATTAGTGTGACAACAAAAAAAAAGGAAAAAGAGAAAAAAGATAGTGGGATTGTTATTTACTTATTTTGGAGAATTTTAAAAAATTTCGTACTCTATATTTGGTGTATTTCTTTTACTAGTTAAAAATTAAAAATATAGTAATGTGGGACAATTTTTTTACAAGAGAGTTATAAAGAAATGAAGATAAAATTTAACTCTTCCAGAGTCTGTGGCTTCACCTTCCTTCCATTCCTCGCTAGTTATACTAACCAAACAAGAATCAGCCTTTCACTTTCCCCGCCTTCCTTCCAAAGCCTTCCAACCAAAGGCTTTAGGAGCTGTAATTTCTACATTTCTACTTATAAGAGAAGTTTTACATTTGAACAAGATACAAGAATACATCATAATATTGCTTCAATTTATTCCCATGGAAATTGTAGGAAAACTCAACATCTTCCATTAATAGTATTTATTCACAGTCTCGTAATGTGATTGCTATCTCAGAGTCAGGACCTAACATGTCTAGCTGTATTTCTTGCATCGGCTTTTTCATATGACATGTTGACATTAATGTGCATATCACAGTTCAAAAGCTTAGCACCTGATTCAGAAACGACTTTGTGTGGGCTGGGAGGGGGGGGGGACTAGCAGGGTGGGTACATTATTATCTTCAATCTGTTTCCCATGTCTTGCAAAATGTAAGCTGTAGGCTATTCGACTTCACTATATTAATTGTTCCATGTTAATTTTTTCTAGGTTGTGATTAAAAGTTCAAAACGTGTATTTTCCCTCTTTTTTTCCTATAATATTTTGGGTGGGTTTGTATGTTAGTTGTCGTTGCTTAACCCTTTGTGCCTTCAGCCATAATGTAACAGCTGGGACGCATCTAATTGAAGTGGACGCAATAGGCTATTTCTTCTCTCCAGTGAGTGTCGTACCAGCGCCACTCTTATATTATCTGGATTCTCTACTGCATTTTATATGCTTCTTATAATTTCTTCAGGTTCGAGTTGATGTTAGTGCCAGAAACCCAGGTAAGGTTCAAGCAGCACTGACAGAGAATAGAAGAAGTCTTACTGAGCTCATTTTGGAGCCACTAAGGGAGGAACAATACTATGAGGTGAGAATAAACTTTTGACTTTAATCCAGTTGTATTTCCTCAATTTTTTTATTTTTATTTCAAGAGTTGATGCTTTTTTCACTTCTTTTCTGTTCCAGGTTAGGGAACCATTCTCCATCATGTCATTAGTCAAAAGCCCGATGGGTCTGATGGTTGGATTCATGCTGCTTGTTGTGTTTGTTATGCCTAAATTGGTAGAAAATATGGGTAAGCATGTAGTAAAAAGATTGCTAATATAATTAACAGTGGTTGAACCAGAGTGTTGATGTCACTTCTATTCATCATAGGTATTGTTCATTCGGAAATACAAGAGAATACACATATACTTCACTCCACACGTCACCCATGTTCTATAATCTATTCACCCTTTAATTTTCAGATGAAAACGGCCGAGTATTAAATAGTGAAGATTTATCTACAGTAGACACTGTCACGTTGGGAACATCATCAACTGGTATTGTTTTTATGCTAACACTTTGTTTTACGTCTTGCGCAGATCCCGAGGAAATGAGACGCGCTCAAGAGGAAATGAGAAGCCAAGGAGTTCCGACCCTTTCAAGTTTACTGCCCGGGGCACAGAGGAGCACCTAAAGGACGGGGGGTAGAGCATGAAAGCTTCCCGTTTCTTGAAACGAAGAATGGGTACCGATCTCAACCATTAGAATTTCCAATTTTCCTTTTTTCATTCATCATCACATAGTTGCAGTATCTAGACTTTTTCATAATGTTAACATATAATATACCGACTTTACCTCTTCCTTTTTTGAATGCTTGCTGATTTATGGGCCTGTGTGGGTGTTTAAACTCATCACTGGAGAAGCAGTCTTCGTAATGGTCCGTAATCCTTCCTGTATTCTCTTTTTTTAATCCTCATAGCCGGTCAATGATCTTTCTCCCCTTGAAGAAGACTGTTTTAAAGGATTGATTGTTTCATATAGCCGAGAATGAATATGGCAGGAGCATTGCAGGGACGACATAAGTGTGTTTCCTTTTTTGGAATAGAAAACTCCCTCCATTCCTTTTTAACTACTCGGTATATATGTAAAATTGTGCAATGAATTAAAACAAAATTTATATCAAATTATTGGTATCAAAAAAATACTTCGAACGTATTATTTTTAATAATTCTATATCGCTAAAGACGATATATTCATATATATAATTATTTTTCTAGAAATGTGATTTATTTATGGGCAACATTCCATTCAAACTGGCATTTAGTGCTAAAGGAGGACTTTCATTCACTTGGAGCTCGTCCGGTGCTCTGTTCGTAAAGTTGATAGTTTTTATCTCTCCTTACTCCCTTTCTAAACCCCCCCCCCATTGCACCCTGACCCTTGTGCCCCCACTCTAGACTCTTTTTTTACTCTCTCCAAATGTGTGACTATTATGCAATGCATATAACTACATATTTAGAGGGGGTAAAAGAGGGGTCTAGGGTGGGGGTACAGAGGTCGGGGTGTGATGGGAGTGCAGTGGGTTATACTATTGTAGGACAAACCCTATTCGCGGGTGTCTATTATTGTACATCCTGAAATCAAAAATTGGACATATGTAAGTAGGGTTTGTTTATTATTGTACAGTCTTATAACTTTTGATTCAGATGTGTTTAGGGTTGTTCATGTTTAGGTCCAGACCGAAAAAACCGACCGACCTGGACCGTTAGGTCCAGACCAAACCCGGACCGATTAGATTTCAGGTCGGTCTTCGGTCCATGATATTTCAAGATTCGGGTTTCGGTCCGGTCCGGTCTAAATCCGATTTGTAATCAGTCTGGACCGAAAGACAGATTAACCATACAGAGTAATGTAATCTTCCGGTCATCTGTAATTCTTTCTCATTCATCCGACGCTATCCAACATTCAAATTCCTAAATATGTGTCTCTGCTCGCCTTCCATCTTTGCACGGTGGCATCCGGTAGCACCTAAATAGGTCTCAACAAAGCTCTGGCCGTGATTTTCTCTCTCTAGCGGTGCGCCACTGGAAGTTGTTCTTCAAAGGAATGTCCGTGAGACCGTCACCATTAGTCTGACATTGCTTGTGATTTTGTGGATCATTCTTGCTTTTTCTTTGTGCGTTTGAATCACCAATAGCAGTATTTCAAGAATTTGAGCCCTTTGCTACTATGGAAGGTCAATTTTGGGTAGATTCTAGAGAAATCTGTTCGAGGTTTCACTGTTCATCACGGCACTTTGCATCTTCAATTGACCAGGTTATCAAGTTCATTTTGCTCCAGTTTTTTGGTATGTTTATCGAATTTCAGGGACCTTTCATTTCGTACAATTGAATCTGTGATTCAATAAACAAGTATTGATCTCCTAAAAATCATTGAATGCTTGTATTGTTCATCTTGTTTCCCTGTAAGTCTATTTTGCCGTGCTGTTTTTGGAACATGGTGGTGAATATCATCACCAAAATTTCATTGTTTTAGGGAATGCCATTGTTTCATTAATAAAAACCAAATCAAAGGGACTTCCAGTGGTTTTGCCACTTTTCTCCTTTGTAATATAGAGACTACTCTATTTAAAAAAAGATTTTTTAAAGTTTGGGTTCGGTCCATTCGGTCTATACCGGTTCGGTCTCTAACATTTTGGTTCGGTCCGGTCTAAAACCAAGTACATTTCGGTCCGGTCTTCGGTCCTTTATTTTAATTGAATCGGTCTTCGGTCCGATCCGGTCCGGGTCAGTCCGGTTCTGGACCGATGAACAGCCCTAGATGTGTTACTACCAAAATATAAAATCAAAAGCTTTCATACATATTGGATACATATTACCAAATTTAAAGTTTTTGAGAAATTCTTAATGGATAATTAATTAGAAACGAAGAGATTCAAGGTGTATAATGTGTGCGTCCACCTCACCCTTTATCTCTTGGTTCTGTAATTGCCTTCGAGGTTATCTCCCACGCACTAGCGCATCCTAACGTCTATCAGGCCGCCTCTGTACTACATCTCACGGAATCTAGCTTCTTGTCCTGCCCGATGTACAAGATGTTACCGGCAATGATAACTAAACTTGTTACTCGTACAGATCTAATTCTTCTGGATACTCATACTTTTGACCATATAAGATGTTACTGTTAATCATATCTGAACTTGTTACTCACACGGATCCAATTCCTCTGAATACACATACTTTTGACTTATAAGATATCATAACTGTTACTCTTCAAATGAGACATCCAAAATCAGACACAAAAGTTTTGGTTGAATGTAATGAGTTAGGTGCAAGATTTTTTTGAGTTGGCTGACATTTACTCCGTATTATGTTAGGTGAGATATTTTGGGTGTTAGGTAAATTTTATTAGGTTTGATGGATTGAATGGTATAGAATTTTTTTGTTAGGTCAAATTTTATTGGGTTAGATTGATTGTATGATGTAAACAAAATTTATCATGTGGGATTATTGGATTAGGTGTATTGAATGGTGTAATATTTTTTGTATTAGGTGTGATTTATTTATTGTATTTGGATAAAAAATCAAATTAAAATACTCCCTATTATTTATTTTCTTTGGAAAAATAAATTAGGTATTAACTTAAGAAAAAAATCAAATTAATAAATTTTTTATTTTGTGGGATTTATTTATTGTGTTTGGATAAAAAATCAAAAACATAAATTATACTCCTTGTATGTTATGTTTGGACGGTGGATGATAAGAGAAAAAGTTTTTTAAACTTAACGGTACTCCATGTACCGGGTACTACATAAAAATTTTTAGGCATCCCTATGAAAAAACTCATTGTCAAACAATAGACCATCTACCGTCTCATTTTTAAAAAATAGTTAATACGAAATGCTACATTGTCTACTGTTTCACCTTATAAAATAATTATTTAATACGAAACGATACTCTGTCTACCATTCGAATAAAACTATCACATCTAAGATTAATCCACACCATACAATTAACCTAGCTCAATAAATCTTATATCATTCAATCTAACTAACATATAAAAAAATCCTACATCACACAACCAACATAACTCAATAAATCTACCTAACAATAACATAATAAGTTCACCTAACAGAATAAAAAATTCTGCACCTAACTCATGTTATTTAGTATATATTTGGGACTTTACTCTCACACTCTTACCACCTAAAAAAATATACTTTTATATATCTACTCATTATTCTTTTTTACATTCCCAAAAAATAGTCATAATTTTATTCTTCCAGCCTATTGGAATGGTGAGTTAAAATTTGAGAACAATGAAGTAGAGTACTCATTGCATTCAAACAAAGCCTTTGTGTTTGATCTTGATGTCTCATTCAATGAGTTCTTCAATGAACTCTGTGATGCCGTTGCTGATGATAATCTCAATTCAATCAAGAAAATTTGATGAAAATATCCAAATACAAAGATGGAGTGTATATCGCATCATGCCCTTTCCCAGTTTATGAAGAGCAAACATAGAGATATTTCATTCAAAAGGTAATCAAGCAATACGATGAACTTGAAATGTACCTAGAGGCACTACATGTTGAGGACTAGGTTCAAGGGTAAGAAAAAATAGTTGCATCAAGAGAGGAGAAAATAGAGGAAGAACAACAACAATATCATCATCACCACCACCAACATCATGAAGAACAGCAACAATGGGGAGCCAATCAATTTCGTGGGATGAGACAGAGCTGTCTAACACAGATTACAAAATGGAGGATGAAAGCGACCCTAGCAATCCTACATTTATTTTCATAACTAATGATGAGAGTTCTTCAAGTATCTTGACCAATGCCCATGGCTCATCCAAGATGCTGAGGTTGCTTCTTTTTTGGACAATCAAACAATACGGAATTTAACATTTATGTCGATCGAGTTAAAAATAAGTGCCCTTTACTAGAGGGGGAGGATAGTGAGGCACAAGAGTGTTCATAAATTTTCACGAATAAAAATTGTAAGGATAAAGCGAGGAATTAAAAGCGTAAGAAAAAAACACACTGATATACATTGGTTGACCACCACTTGTGGCTATGTTTAGTCTCCCGAGAGACTCTCTCGAGCTACAGTATTGTCGTTAAGCTTACGGGTGCTTAACAAACCGTTGCAACCTGAGAACTCATTACATAAGATAGTGCTGAGAATGAATGAATGTCTGGAACACTGCATTCTTTCTCCACTTCCAGATCCATTCATTCCACTCCCCATTGGTCAATGAAACAATGTATGAAAGCCAAACAAAGCAAATACTACTTGTTTGAACTAGAAGATATGCAAACATTGTAATCAAACATTTATTAACAAGAGTTCAACAATGATAGATAGGCCAGTGAAGATGCATGTGATGTTCTTCCAAGTTCAACAATCAACTTCGGCTGCTGCCGCTGCTGCATAGCTCACACTGCTGTCCCTCATGCTTCTGCACTGGCTGGACTGCTCGTAGCGAAGGAATTTAATATTTATCTTTGTCAAGCAGTTCTTTGCCATCTGTGTTGTTCAAATGCCAAGAGGGTTATTGTTCCTCACCAAATTGTCAAATACTCCGAACAAATAAATACTGCATTACATAAGTGACAAGCAAAATCATCTTGGAAAGCCAACTTCCAAATCAAAATTCTCGGACCGGTATATTATACTCCGTAATATTCAACTTGTTTATTGAGAATAAATGAATCTGTGCGAATAAAAGAAAGGATGAGATATTTACATGAAGGAAAACACTGATTGGATGGCGTCCGCAAATGGTGTTGTGAGTCTCAGACAAGTACTGTTTAAATGCATCTGGATCTCCTGTTTCTATGATATCCATACCCTTTTTATCCAATGCTTCAATTGACTTGTAAATTTCTCCATGTGTTTTGTCATAATGTGTGAAATTGAATCTAGCACACAGATGAGAGATGTGTAAAATACATATATACATAACACATTCTTCAGAGTAGTGTTTATTCAAGTTCTCAGGAACGTAAATATACGAAACCAAAGCCTTTTAGATGTTAACACACGTCAAAGGTCATGCAAGAGAAACAAATTTTGAGACAGCACAAACCTAACTTTTGTAATTACGGTATCAAATAGAATAATGGACTAGCTGCCTGTAATGGATATTGATCAAAGAAAAACTAGACTCAAATTCACTGCTATCAGATTAACATTTATTCCAACTGAAATACAGCAAGACAAGAATCAACAATAGAAGCCTACAACTGATAAAACATTATCAATTGAGCATACCGGGAACCCCAGTGACAAAAATCTGAAGATACTGAAAAGAAATTTCTTGGATCATCCACATATTTTGCCAGCAATTCTCCATACATAGCTTCAGTTTGAGAATTAAGAGAACCCACCAAAATAGGAACTACTTTCACTGCATACCTGTGAAAAGAGTTCAACAATTCAGACTCCAACAACATCATGCAAGAACAAGGTTGAGTGTCTAAATTCTAAAATATACCCGTGAAAAATTTTAGCAAGATATGGGAGGTGCATTTCCATGCTATGCTCAGCCTCATCAATTCTGAGATCCATCAATTCAAACTTCCCCGACGCTTTTAGCTCCTCAGTGACTGTTAGAACATGCTGTCTATCAGTTTTTGTAAATAATTTGAAGACTTCCTTTGACGCGGACAAACCAATGAAGAGGATGAAACTAATGGTGATTCATTATATAACAAAACTAGAGCTGGCTTTATTCATAAATTACTCAAGGACATGATAGTGTTTCTCAATCACATAAAAATGGATTTTATATAGATTACCAAAACATTGAAGGAATGTTTTGCTAAGCATGTAAGCCAAGTCTAGCATATAAATGATGTGACCACTAGACGAGATGTTACTCAGGTGGCACCCCTTAACTGGCAGATGTGACTGTCCAAAGGATCATAACAACAACAACAACCCAATAGAATCCCACGAACGTAGGGTCTAGGGAGGGTGTGTGTATGCAGACCTTACCCCTACTTGAAAGTAGAGAGGCTGTTTCCAATTGCTCAAAGGACCATGATATTGATAATTTGGAGTAAATGCAAAATGGCAATCATGGCTTGCTTGAAGGTGTGGGCCAAAGTAAGACACCTTAAAAGAAATTTACCGACTGTCCAGGAATTGGATAATAATGTTGAGCCTTCTGATTCTGATGTGGAAACCAAGTTGATTTCTAAAGTGGGTAGAAGAGGGGGTTCAACAAAGAGGTGATGGTTCAAAAAAATAACCATTATAAATGGCTTGTTCTGGA